TTTTCTGGAACATCATCTTCAAAGGGATTACTGTGTATCTTCTGCCTTGCAAGCTGGTCTGTCGATGGCGCAGTCAAAACTCGAGATGCGTTCCACATCTGTGTCAAAACTAAACAGCCTTCATTCTCAAGTATTCTAATCTTGGGCCCACAAATAGAATGGTGGCATGACAAGGGAAGACAACACTTTGTACAAGTCCTTTACATGCTACATACAAGTTTGGATTGGCCTAATGACTACAGGTGATCTATGCCACATGTAACAACATTTTCAAGTTCAAGAAAGCATACAGGATTGTTGTAGGTGGATCTTAAGACTTCCAGAGTGAACATATTAATCAAATCTGCAAAGATTAAACCCCATGTGTGTGTGTACATATATATTGACTACATATATCTGAGGGTTATCCAGAAAGTAAGGTTACAAGGCACATTGCTCCTGTGGGGAATTTCCTCAGGGGAAGTTGGTATCACTGCCGTGTAGTGGGAAGCCAGTGGAAGCAAATGAGCAGTGCCAATTGTCAGTAGCTCATCAACTGGCATTGTGGTGAAGGTTAGCGATGAGAATCCTCAGTTTCCCTCCAAGTGCAAAGTTCGCACATTGCTCTTGCGGGGAATTTCCTCAGGGCAAGTTGGTATCACTGTCGTGTAGTCAGAACCCAGTGGAAGCAAACGAGCAGTGCCAGTTGTCAGTAGCTCATCAACTGGCATTGTGGTGAAGGTTAGAGATGATAATCCTTTGTATTTTTTAAAAAATCTTGTAATTTTACTTTCCAGACAACTTTCATATTAATCAAATCTGGAAAGGTTAAACCCCATGTGTATGTACATATATATTAAATACATATATGCAAAGGCTATCTGGAAAGTAAGGTTACAAGGCACATTGCTCTTGCGGGGAATTTTCTCAGGGGAAGTTGGTATCACTGCCGTGTAGTGGGAAGCCAATGGAAGCAAACGAGCAGTGCCAGTTGTCAGTAGCTCATCAACTGGCATTGTGGTGAAGGTTAGTGATGAGCATCCTCATTCAGTTTCCTTCCAAGTGCAAAGTTTGCACTGTCATATACTACCTAAATGCTACGGGCACGAATGCTGCTGCAATTGATCGCAAAAATAATCTGTTGACGGAGAGGAGGTAATGTCAAGACAATATGTGGCAAAATGGGTACAGAATATATTGTGAGACCATGAAGAAACTTTGCAGAGCCATCCAAAACAAACATGGGATGCTGGTGGCAAGAGTCTGTCTCCTTCATAACAATGTGTGTCAACACACTGCTCATGCAATACAAGAGTGGTTGACTTCATTTGGTTGGGATGTTTGAAGCCACCCCTCTCACAATCCCGAACTCGCACCCAGTGATTATCATAAGTTGTTTCTGACACGAAAAAAAAAAAAACCTGAATTGAAGGAATACCTGGTGGAAAAAACTTTTCCAATGATGACGAGGTGAACATTGAAGTGACGAACTGGCTGAAAAGGCGGAGGGAAACTTCTATGACACAGGCATCAAAATTCATCACACGCATGACGAAATGTATTGAATGGAATGTAATTATATGGAAAAATAATGTAATCCTTATGCTACAATCCATGTCAGTTTGATTAAACATAATTCTTTGTATTTTTAAAAAAATCTTGTAACCTTACTTTCCAGGTAACCCTCATATTAATCAAATCTACAAAGGTTAAACCCCATATGTGTGTGTACATATATATTAAATACATATATCCAAAAGTTATCCGGAAAGTAAGGTTACAAGGCACATTGCTCTTGCGGGGAATTTCCTCAGGAGAAGTTGGTATCTCTGCCGTGTAGTGGGAAGCCAGTGGAAGCGAACGAGCAGTGCCAGTTGTCAGTAGCTCATCAACTGGCTTGTTGGTGAAAGTTAGAGATGAGCGTCCTCATTCCGTTTCCCTCCAAGTGCAAAGTTCGCAATGTCATATGCTACCTAAATGCTAAGGGCATGAATAATTTCATTTTATGGAGAGGAGGTAATGTCGAGACAGTATCTGACAAAATGGGTACAGAATATATTGTGAGACCATGAAGAAACTTTGCAGAGCTATCCAAAACAAATGTGGGATGCTGGTGGCAAGAGTCCGTCTTCTTCATAATAATGTGTGTCTGCACACCACTCATGCAACACAAGATTGGTTGACTTCATTTGGTTGGGATGTTTGAAGCCAACCAATCTTGCACCCAGTGACTATCATCTGCTCACTGAATTGAAGGAACACCTGGTGAGAAAAACTTTTCCAACAATGACAAGTTGAAAATTGAAGTGACCAACTGGCTGAAAAAGGCGGAGGGAAAATTCTATGACGCAAGTATCGAAATTCATCGTACGGATGACAAAATGTATTGAACGGAATGTGATTATATGGAAAAATAATGTAATCCCTATGCTACAATCCATGTCAGTTTGATTAATATATTCATTCTTTGTAGTTTAAAAAAAATCTTGTAACCTTACTTTCCAGATAACCCTCATATTAATCAAATCTACAAAGGTTAAACCCCATGTGTGTGTGTACATATATATTAAATACATATATACATATATTCATCCAAACACTCCTTTCTTAAGAACTGAAATGTGGCCACTTATGATTCAAATATTCAGAAAGAGCCAGCGTGCCATAGGAATTTGAGAGTTAAGACTAGGAATCAGCCTGAAAACACATTGGGTGACCCGAAGCAAATCACACTTTCTGAGTCATAAGAGGACAACAATGGGAGGGTGAGGGCTGAATGAGTCTGAAACCCTAGGACAGACTCAGACAATAGAGTGAACCTGAACGCACAGAAGAACAGCAAATATTCAATTGCATAAGTAACACTTTAGAGCAATCCAGTTTCACAAGAGCAGCTACTATTTAGGTGGCCCAGCTTCCCCCAGAAAGGGGCCCCAAACACCAACCTGTACTGCAACACCATGTTCAAAGGACCAGGCAATATAACCAGTCCAGCTTCGGGACAAAACTGTTTGGCCACAAAAGAAAGACGGAGGTATTATTACAAAGCCATTCGTTTACTAAATGAGCAGCTTGCCCATGACCTGCATACAAAGAGAAGAAAATCTCCCCAGTCCTTGTTTTAAGGGAAAGGAGCAAAATCTGAAAGTGGACAGGAAAGGAACTATGATGTGTGGCAACCTTCGTTATGTGTCCCTTAGAAGACATTTTTCACTTACCTAATTATTCTTGGTCCTTCTTTTTTGAAAAAAAATATATATAAAGGTATTACCCATTTCTTACTTGGAATATTTGATATGAGTTAAGGTCACTCCAAACTTTTTTTTTCAAGTCAGGAACGACTTGAGAAATTACAAGTCGCTTCCGGTGTGAGAAAATTGGCCATCTCCAAGGCATTGCCCGGATGTTCTGATGTTTTACCATCCTTGTAGGAGGTTTCTCTCATGTCCCTGCATGAGGAGCTGGAGCTGACAAAGGGAGCTCAACTCACTCTCCCTGGATTCAAACCTCCGACCTGTAAGTCTTCAGTCCTGCCAGCACATTGCGCCACTGGGTGTTTCCAAACTGAGGAGGTTTACTGGGTTGTTGTAGGTTTTTCAGGCTGTATGGCCATATTCTAGAAGCATTCTCTCCTGACGTTTTGCCTGCAGGGATCCTCAGAGGTTGCGAGGTCTGACCTCTGAGGATGCCTGCCATAGATGCAGGCGAAACGTCAGGAGAGAATGCTTCTAGAACAGTGGTTCTCAACCTGGGGGTTGGGACCCCTGAAGGGGTCATGAGGGGGTGTCAGAGGGGTCGCCAAATACATCACAGACAGTATATTCTGTTGGTCATGGGAGTTCTGTGTGGGAAGTTTGGCCTAATTCTATCATCGGTGGGCTTCAGAATGCTCTTTGGTAGTAGGTGAACTATACATCCCAGCAACTACAACTCCCAAATGTCAAGGTCTATTTTCCCCGAACTTCACCAGTGTTCACATTTGGGCATATTTAATATTCGTGCCAAATCATGGCTTTGGGACCAGGCCTTCGGACAGTGGATGTTCGTAGAGTTTAAAGGACATGGACTAGAATGACAATACGACTGGCGAGACTGTTTTTATTATTTATTGTTTTAATGACTGCTTATGTACTGTCTAATTATGATTTATGTTTAATTGTGGTTGTTATGGATTGGCATCACATCAATGTCCAATGTATGGCATTGAAGTTTTGCCAGTTATGTGTAAACCGCTTTGAGTCCCCTAAGGGTGAGAAAAGCGGTATAGAAATACTGTAAATAAATAACAAATAAGTAAGTTTGATCCTGATCCATCATTGCTTGAGTCCACAGTGCTCTCTGGATGTAGGCGAACTACAGCTCTAAAATGCCCACCAAACCCTTCCAGTATTTTCTGTTGGTCATGGGAGTTCTGTGTGCCAAGTTTGTTTCAATTCCATCATTGGTGGAGTTAAAAATGCTCTTTTATTGTAGGTGAACTATAAATCTCAGCAACAACTACTCCCAAATGACAAAATCAATCCTCCCATCAGTATTCAAATTTGGGCATATTGAGTATTTGTGCCATATTTGGTCCAGTGAATGAGAATACATCCTGCATATCAGATATTTACATAACGATTCATAACAGTAGCAAAATTACAATTATGAAGTAGCAATGAAAATAATTTAATGGCTGGGGGTCACCACAACATGAGGAACTGTATTAAAGGGTCGCGGCATTAGGAACATTGAGAACCACTATTCTAGAACATGGCCATATAGCCTGAAAAACCCACAACAACCCAGGGATTCCAGCCATGAAAGCCTTCAACAACACATTGAGGAGGTTTACTCCTTAGGTTTGTAGCGTTTCAGTCAATTGCGCCCTAGCTGTGAATTAACCCTGGGCATTAATGCATTTCAAGCCAAGGAAAGATCTACTCCTGGCATAAGGCAAACGGTGAGCGAATCAGGACCTCAAGAAGTTCAACTGTGCACATACACACACGTCAGACAGAAACGAGAAGAATCTAGGAATCTATTATTTTAAAAACAGTTTTTATTCTGTATATTTAGAAATGTGTAATTTTTTTAATAACGGCAAAGAAAAAAAAATCAGCCACACCTGAATAGCTAAAGAACCGATTAACAGAATGCAGTGGTATATTATCTAAACAGAAATAGTGCTGATGTGCCATAATAAATTGTCTATTAGTAAAAAAATACATTTCAGGGCACATAGGACAGCATCCTTATCACAAAAATTACAGTAGGGATACTTTTGTTGTTTTTTTTTTCCTCTTTCTTTTTATTTATTTTTTTCCAAGAATGTAATCAAACTAGAGAATTCCGAGTTAAGTCTTTTAAATGCAGCACTTAAAAAGATAACAATTTTGTGCATTTTTTGTTCTTTTTTTTTAAAAAAAAGAAAGTCCTTTTTTTCCCCCCACGTACGGTAGAAATGCTGCTTTATTGCTGCGAGATGTCAAAGTTGAAGGCTCAAAAGGTATGAGAGTACAAAGGTATTAAGAAACGTTTTTTTGTCTCGTAATTTTTTATATATATTTATATATATAAAAAAGGTAAAGCTTATAAAAGTTAAATTTACAAACCGAGAACAAAAGTGGTATGCGCGAGTTATATACAAGCAATTCTAGAACATCTATAAATTTTTCAAAATGCATAGCAAGAAAACATACCATCATGTTCTTCTGGGTTCTCCTCTGGCGGATCAGGGCAAAAACACTCCCGAGTGTAATATACATACATACATACATACACGCACTCACATATATATATATATGTATATTCTCGCTCTTTTCTGAAAATAGATCGGGTTTCTCAAACTTTCTCAGGATGTATTAGTCTAGATTAAGCCGGAAAAGCCATACAAACTGAGTAGTACAGAGAATTACCATGACAGAAAGGACTAGTAAAAACAAGAGGGTAAGGCATCCCTGCTGGTTAATGTGTTTTGTCGTAAATGTGGTTAATTTACAGACTGACAAGAGGCAAATGAACCATAGTCATATATCACATGCGCCTTCTTTCTCTTCCTTCATGACTAAATGTGGGGAGCGTGTTTCATGGAGGTGCAAGGCGCCTACATTGTGTTTGCAACCAAAAATATAATGTATTTCCTTCCACTTTGTGGGCAACTGCATCAAAAGATTGCCAGTTGTATTATTTAAAAAATAATAATAAGTGACCGCAAGAGTCTTTGCATATTTGAAACACACAACGGTGTTTTGTGTATGACGTAAAATAGAAAAAAGACCTAATTCTGAAGTGGACTGTGAATCAAATTTCAATTCCTCTATCGGAAGAAAAGGAATTAATTAAACAAAAAATTAGACTGGATTGCTTCAATGGTGGTTTTTAAGTCATGACGCATCCAAAGTGTATGGTTAAGGAACGGCAAAAGAAAAGACCCGGCTGCCCATCGACATGTACCCTGACCATGGTTCGAGAAGGAATTCGCTATCCGTTGTTAGTCAAAGCAAAGACTGCTCAATACTAGGAGAAACGTTAATACTTGGAAACGAGTGGATCAGTGTCTAGGCAAGGTCAGTTTTGTTTTGTCTGTTTGCTTTTAAATCTCGGTCTCGGGCATATAAGTCAATCTGCTAACGTAAGGAAGGATTAGAAGTGATCTATTAGAACTGACACACAGTTCGCTCCAACAAGATAGTTTGGATCCCCGGGAAGAGACTTGTTCTGCCAGGTTTTGGGGTCACCTGTGGGAGGAAAACAACGTAGTAGTTTAGTAGCCATCAAGACAAGGGGGAACATCTTGGACAACAATGCCGTTACAGTTTGTTTGCTGTAAAAAGAAATTACCATAAAAATAAATAAATAAATAAATAAATAAGAAATTACAATAAATGACCTTCTGCTCTTAGTGTAGAATGCACCCCTTTAGTGGCAGGTTTGGGCTTTTGATTTACTAAAACTAAGCTGATAAACGCTGGGGAATAAATTCCAAGATTTCTGGAAATGACAGATGGGAGGTAATCTATCTGAGGGTGCTTAATGGAAGGCCAACATGGGTCCCACCTCACAGATTCAAATATGGTAAGTATCACCTCTTGTCTGACAAAATTTTATTACACTTTACTGGCTAAGAATCCAAGGGTAGTCCACTTGCAAATGTGAAACATCTGAGGAGGGTTTTAGATGGACTGCCGAGGGGTGAAATTCCCCAGCTGCATCTCAGGAGGGTTTTGGATGGGCAGCCGAGGGGTGGAATTCCCCCGCTGCATCTCAGGAGGGTTTTGGATGGACAGCCGAGGGATGAAATTCCCCCGCTGCATCTCAGAAGGGTTTTGGATGGACAGCCGAGGGGTGAAATTCCCCAGCTGCATCTCAGGAGGGTTTTGGATGGACTGCTGAGGGGCGAAATTCCGCCGCTGCATCTCAGGAGGGTTTTGGATGGACTGCTGAGGGGTGAAATTCCCCCGCTGCATCTCAGGAGGGTTTTGGGTGGACTGTTGAGGGGCGAAATTCCCCCGCTGCATCTCAGGAGGGTTTTGGATGGACTGCTGAGAGGTGAAATTCCTCAGCTGCATCTCAGGAGGGTTTTGGATGGACTGCTGAGGGGTGAAATTCCCCCGCTGCATCTCAGGAGGGTTTTGGATGGACTGCTGAGGTGTGAAATTCCCCAGCTGCATCTCAGGAGGGTTTTGGATGGACTGCTGAGGTGTGAAATTCCCCAGCTGCATCTCAGGAGGGTTTTGGATGGGCAGCCGAGGGGTGAAATTCCCCAGCTGCATCTCAGGAGGGTTTTGGATGGACTGCTGAGGGGCGAAATTCCGCCGCTGCATCTCACGAGGGTTTTGGYTGGACTGCTGAGGGGRGAAATTCCCCKGCTGCATCTCAGGAGGGTTTTGGYTGGACTGRTGAGGGGCGAAATTCCSCCGCTGCATCTCAGGAGGGTTTTGGATGGACTGCTGAGGGGTGAAATTCCCCAGCTGCATCTCAGGAGGGTTTTGGATGGACTGCCGAGGGGTGAAATTCCCCAGCTGCATCTCAGGTTCAAGGGGAGCTAGACCTTACAAAGGGAGATGCAACCATACAACTCTTCTCAGAGTTGACCCACAAAGTTAGCTCTAAGTTCCATCATTTGGGAAGAAGCCCTCCAGATAAGCATGTGGGAATCTCATAAAAAACAAAACCATATCTCACTGGGAGGAAGATATGGTTTGGACTCCTTTCAACTTGCTCCCCCTACAGATAGGTTTGCTTCCATCTCCCACCACCTTGGCCAATGCAGTCAATGGCCATGATGTTGGCTAGGGATAATGGGAATTACAGGCTCAACGCACGTCAAGGGGAGTTATGTTGGGAAGGCTGGTCTAAGTTGAAGTCCAAACATCTAGAGCAGTGGTTCTTAACCTGTGGGTCCCCAGATGTTTTGGCCTTAAAACTCCCAGAAATCCTAACAGCTGGTAAACTGGCTGGGATTTCTGGGAGTTGTAGGCCAAAACACCTGGGGACCCACAGGTTGAGAACCACTGAGCTAGAGACTGTTCATAACCAGTTAGGTAAAAAGGGAAGACCTGAGTTCGGAATTCACATCACCACATGGAAAGACGTCCCCAGAGGGCTGCGCCATCTATGGTCTTCTCAGCTCCAAGCAAATGTTTGCTCCCATTGGCAAGATGGTCATGAGTTGTAATGGGCGCCCTCCTCTGGACAAGCAGAGAAGAAACATCAATTGCCAACCCATTGGTGTGGTTCAGTTCTTTGCCAAAGGGAGCATTTGCTTGCATGCCAGAGTGACTAAGACAAAAGAGCCAGTGGAAGTTTACAGCCTCTGTGAAGCTCTGTTCCTTATGGAGAGGTAAAGGAATTGGGGATTGAACTAGCAAAAGATATGGCTGAACAGCTAGTTTATATCTTTAAGATCATCAATGCTCGCTTGCTCAGCCACTAACCCAAGCACAGGCAAACTTCGGCCCTCCAGGTGTTTTGGACTTCAACTCCCACAATTCCTAACAGCCTATGATCAAAGAAGATCAAACAGCCTTTCTTCCTGATAGACATTTGAAAGATAATGTAAGAACTATAATTTACATTGAGTATTATGACTCAAATAATCAAAAGGAATTGGCATTGATATCAATTGATGCAGAAAAAGTATTTGGCAATATAAATTGGGATTTCTTCAAAATTTTGATGGAAGAGTTAGAGATGGGTTTTCAATTTTTGAATGCAATTAAGACAATTTATGAGCAACAGGATGGTTGTTTATATCTTTAAGACCATCAATGCTTTCTTGCTCAGCCACTAACCCAGGCATGGGCAAACTTCAGCCCTCCAGGTGTTTTGGACTTCAACTCCCACAATTCCTAATAACGTAATGATCAAAGAATATCAAACAGGCTTTCTTCCTGATAGACATTTGAAAGATAATTTAGGAACTATGACTGACATTGAGTATTATGACTTAAATAATCAAAAGGAATTGGCATTGATATCAATTGACATAGAAAAAGCATTTGACAATCAAAATTGGGATTGAAATTTTGATGGAAGAGTTAGATATGCGTTTAAGACCATCAATGCTTGCTTGCTTAGCCACTAACCCAGGCATGGGCAAACTTTGGCCTTCCAGATGTTTTGGACTTCAACTCCCACAATTCCTAACAGTCTGCACTAACCTGTCTCAGTGCTGCAGATAATATAGAATATAGATGCTCAAGAGAACATTTGAAGATTCAATTAGAAAACTACAGCACTGTAGCGCTTGGCTCATCTTGACCCATGCGCAATCCTATGTGGGATTATGGGAAAACAGCTTCTACTGGATGCCTAGGACTAATTGAAACACACTTAGCTACATTAACTACACTCCTATGAAAATTAGCCTTTCTTTGGTACAAACATTCCCAATCCACTTGGAGAAATCAACCCTTTGACATTTTAGCACCGTGTTGACATTGTACAGGTGTTAATAATCACCAATTCCATGCTGTTTCAGTTCGTAACACAGACACACACAGAGGCACACACACACATGCCCATACACACTTGCACACTGAAGCTCTTGGGGTCCCATTGTTATTAAAACAGTATTGTTAACCCAGGTTAGATGAATCAGTCTCGAATTAAGGCCCCAGATTATACAGACATGTTATATGTTATAGAATTTAGACAGAGATGTTATATGTGCTACAGAAGACAAGAGGCCCCACAGTTCTTGAGGGACACTCATGGAAACAAACATGATGTACACAATGACCGATAGATATGCTGAAGTGATGACAACAGCTGGAGTGAAAATTACAGAGTAGAATGACCAGTTTGGAGTTGGTTTGTGTACTCGTTCACCTCAATACTAAGTTATAGCAGCCCGTGAAATGTTATCTCATGGCGGTTCGTTTCAAGCCATCCCCAGAAAGGAAAAAGGATTTTCCATTAGTTTTAGCTATATTTTACAAACTTTTGGCAATCAATAGTTTGTAAAGATACGAAGGTGTAGTCTGACAGGTGAGAACGTGTATTTGCAGAACACCTTCCTTGTTTGGTGAAATAGTTTGGAAAAAAGGAATGTAAGCTAAAACTTTTTGATTCCAGAGCTTGAAAAGGTGAGTTGCCAGTGGTGACCTCCCAATACCAAAGAATTCACCAACGCACTTAGGAGGTTAACCTCTGGTGCTGGGTCCCACTGAAAAGTCGGGAATTGGTTGTCGTCCCCTCCTCCCAACTCTAATTCCATGAGATGAGATGAAACAAGGAAATATATACATATATATTTAGGGAGAATGTGCCAGTTTAATCTGACTTTTTGAAAAATGTGTTGCAGAAGAGGTTAGTATGTAGAACCAAATGTTTGTTTCAGAAGGACAGAGAGGAACATGGAAAACATGTTAGGAGAAGCTTAAAAGAGAAAAGAGTGAGAGAGAAAGAGATCCCATCACCAACGTGTTGTATTTTTTTTTTAAGAAAAGAGAGAAAACAAATATTTATTTAAGACACAGTATGGCTTACACATCAGAAGACAGAGTTGGCCAATTGTGAAGTTTCATCTCAAGGAGCAAGATTACTGATATAACACCACATTGAGTTACGTCCGCTGCAAAGGATGTATAGCTCCGATACAGACAAGAACGAGACGGGCCTTAACGCAACCACGCACACACACCCACGCGCATGAACACGGCAGGAGCACACACAGAACGAGGCTAGCGGGGGGGAAAGGGAGGAGAGGAGACCGCTCGCTCTCAGGCGCATTGGGTCCTCAAAGGGACCAGCAGCATTCCCCTTCTCAACTTGCATTTCAAGGAAATTCGTGGACAGGTTCGTCAGTTACGCAAAACCAAAGCACACTTTGGGAGGAGTTATATGGATTATAAGTGGCAAAACTTTGGATCCTTATTACTTCGGAGGGTCCATTTTCTAGCACTTTCGAGATTTTTCTGTTTCCTGTTTTTGCTTTTGCTTCTTAACACACAGTTAAATAAATAGCTGCATGCAACACATGCATAGAATACCAGTAAAAATAAACCGGTCAAGGTTTCTCTTTCAGTATTTGGATTTCCCCCCCATCAGAGAAGTATCTGATGCGCTACCGTTAGGTTTGCGTCAACATAGTGGCATCGGAAAAGGATAGATACATCAGTGACAAATATTGAATACATTTTTTTAAATACTGTACACGTTAAGTACATTGCCTTTATATACCATATACAGATATGTATACATTTAAGGGTGTCAAAGACGCTTTCGTTAAGTGGCTGGAAACATACCCTTTGGACCTTTGTGTCCAGGATGCAGGCTGCTTTTTTGTTTTGGGTTCTGGCTTCCCCTCAAGGCTGTCACTTTGCAGCCACTTCATGACATTGCTTGAAATTTACACAAGAAACCTAAACAATTTTGTTTGTTTGTTCCTTTGTTTGTTTGCTTCCCTTCCTTTACTTGAATAAGGGGGTGTTGTTACTTACTGGGGGGAAATAGCACAGGCATACGGACCTATAGACAGTTCTCCCCACCAAAGGGGAAAAAGTAACAGCAGGAAAGGGGAGGACCATCTCTCCATAACATTTTAAAATTTAGCAGGAAGCACAAAATTTGCACGGGAACCCAAACAAGTTGCAGAAGTTTCTTCCGCAAGACAGCTTTCCATTTTGCAGAACTGTCAAATTCAATTCATACATAACGTCAGTCGCATTGGTAAGCTTGACCAAAACTACAAATGCTTTTGGGGTCACTGGGTTGTTGTGAGTTTTCTGGGCTGTATGGCCATGTTACAGAAGCATTCTCTCCTGGTGTTTCTCCTGCATCTGTGGCAGGCATACTCAGAGGTTGAGGGGTCTGTTAGAAACTAGGAAAATTGGGTTTATATATTTGTGAAGGGTCCAGGGTGGGAGAAAGAACTCTTGTCTGTTTGAGGTAGGTGTCAATGTAGCAACTGGCCACCTTCATTAGAATTTAATGGCCTAGCAGTTTTCAAGGTCTGGCTTCTTACTGTGATTAACTGGCTCTGATTGTTTCTTGTTCCCTGACCTAACCCTGCATAAAATTAGTGGCCCATTGTTCTGCTTCCTGTTTATCCTATATAAGCCAGGGCCTGAACTCAAGGGGCAGATGTGCTCTCACAGAAGTTGAGGAAGCAATAAGCCATTTTGTTCCCTTCTGCTTCAGGATAAGCCTTGTCTTAGAGGGCACTAGAAAACTGAGTAAGCGTTTAAAATTAGCTGCTTTGAGTGCTGGACACTGAAAGTTCTTGACATCATGAATATGGATTTACTAACACAAAGAATATCCCCCAATATCAACAATGTCAAAAGAACGGACTGGAATAGCTTTCTAGAATACCTTGAAAAGGAAAATAAAGGAAACATCCAAACATAACAGAAGGAGAGAAGATCTCATACTAACCTGAAGATGCTAAGCATAATTGACTATAAGTCTCAGGCCTTATGATAGAGAACCTTTTACATCCCTGGATAACTTGGAAGTGTACTTCCCCAAAGATATATATCCTTGCTTGCATGTGCTGACCTAACCCTGCATAAAATGCCCTCGGAAGCACTTTATTCTAGTGCAATTAAACCCTACTTTGTCCCTGTACAAATATAGTACATTGCTCTCTCACCCCGTGTTTTTAAACTTTTAATCTATTGCAACTGGCCCTGCCCACTGTGATCAATTTTCTGTGTTTAAATATTGTGATTTTAGATTGTTTGATGTGTTTATTTATATTGGTGCTTGTATTTTATTTTTATCTTCTTTATATTTTACTGCTCTGTTTTTTTTGTTGTATATTGTTTTACTGTATTGTTGGGCTTGGCCTCATGTAAGCCGCCCCGAGTCTCCTTGGGAAGATAGTGGCAGGGTATAAATAAAGTGTTGTTGTTGTTTGGAATCCCCCTGTTTTTGAGTGTTGTTCTTAATTTACCATTATGATTTTAGAGTTTTTAATACTGGTAGACAGATTTTCCATTTCATCACACTTAAAATCCAGTTTCTGCCTCCTGCAGAATTCTGGGGTTTGTAGTTTAGTGAGGCTGTTAAAGGCTCCTCCCTAAACAAAAAACCCCAGAATTCTACAGGAGATAGAAACCTGCTTTTAAATGGATTTTTTTCCTCTAGTGTGATAAGGTTTTATGGTTTCTTCCTTTCTGTAGAAATTGTCCATATGCTTGTGGATTTCAATGGCTTCTCCCACCTCCCAACAAAGGATTCCTCCAGGCAGTAAGAAGCCAGACTTTGAAAACGGCTAGGTCACTAAATGCTAATCAAGGTGGCCAATTGCTACATTCACACCTTTCTTGCATCCTGGACCTTCCACAGATATATAAACCCCATTTTCCTAGTTTCCAACAGACTTCACAACCTCTGAGGATGCCTGCCGTAGATGCAGGCGAAACATCAGGAGAGAATGCTTCTGGAACATGGCTAGACAGCCTGGACAACTCACAACAACCCAGTGATTCCGGCCATGAAAGCCTTCGACAATACTTTTGGGCTCAGTTTACTGGGACTGTTATAGCCTTCTATGGTCGATATTAAGAATCGTTATTTGGAAAACCCAATTAGAATTTCTTCAACATAGTTGACAAAGAAAAAAAAAGTGTGACTTTCATCATAAAGTGTTTTGCAGCAGTATTAGTCCTTGAGAGAGAGAGAAAGACAAAGACAGAGAGAGAAAGAGACAGGAAGCATGTGATTGATAAGAAACAAGGTAGATAATTGCACCGTTGAATGGACCAATGACAAAAGTGTGGCACAACGTTATCTACCTTGCCATTTCGGTTTCTCCATCATGATTTTTCTGCAACGATTGTTTTTGTATCATGAGTTTAAAGTGTGAGAAAGACACTTGTAATGAAAATGAAATGGAGAGCTGACACAAATACAGTGATTTAGTAAATATCTCGGTATTACACAGTGCCACCTTCAGTCAGGTGGGTTTAAATTATACGATAGCACCCAAAAGCCCCAAAAGGACAGAGGGAGGACAGCATACCCGACGAGGAGTCGGAGGATTTTAGAGCAAAAGACCAACCATCGGGGGTCATAGACGCACAATGTGGCAAGCGCAGCTCCACTGGCTTCAGGAATTTTAGTCCATGGGGCCCGCACATTACCAAAGGGCTGAGCAGCGTTTCACCTACGGTGAAGGGACAAAAAGGGGCAGAGGTTAAGAGAGACAAACCCACAATGCAGCATCACACCTGAGCCAGGCAACCTGAGACCTGGAGGGATTTCATTTTTCAACTTCAGGAGCGAATCCGAGGGCCTTCTCTGCTGTGGCTCTGACTGTGGAATGCCTAATAATAATAATCTATACACATAATAAAAGTGAAAAATGTGTATGTGTGTATGTGGCAGAGGTGTCCACTTACACAGACAGCCTCCCACCTCCACAAACAGGCTATAGTTCCAAGTGCTGAGTAGCCCTCAACGAGACTCCCTCAACTGACATTGCATGTTATAGTGAGCACCATGAACATGTAGCCCAAATGCTGCCAATGTCCTCGCCAAAACCTACAGCCCACCACCCAAGGAATGCTTTCATTTAGAGACAATTTCATCCTAGATTTCATAGTGTTTCCTCCATCAGACAGTCATCCCAGGGTTTCTTGTGTGGAATTTGCATGACCCTGCCCTCTGCTCCTCCCTTACCTCTTTCCTACACTTCCCTATGACACACAGAGAACACAGAGGAATTGATCAGAAACTGAACAGACTGGAGGGGTTTGGGGGTGATTGCCCTTGGAATCTGGGAATTGTAGTTCGCCCTTATCCAGAGAGCACTGAACCCAGCCAATGATGGATAGGGGCCAAACTTGGCACACAGAACCAACATGGCCAACTGTGCATATTACCAGGGTTTGGGGGTGACTGCCCTGGAAATCTGGGAATTGTAGTTTACCTTTATCCAGAGAGCACTGAACCCTGCCAATGATGGATCTGGTCCAAACTTGGCACACAGAACCAACATGGCCAACTGTGCATACTGGCAGGGTTTGGGGGTGACTGCCCTGGGAATCTGGGAGTTGTAATTCTCCCTTATCTAGATATCACTGGACCCAGCTGATGTCGGATCGGGACCAAACTTGGCACACAGATCTAACATAGCCAACTTTGAATGATGACGGGTTTTGGGAAGAATTGACCCACGATTTTGGGAGCTGTAGTTCTCCCACATTCTTATGCATTTTCTAATGGGAACATTCATTAAAAACAAAAGAAAAGACTTGCTTATTTTCTAATAAATACCATTACACACTGCCGGGTCCCCAAGCTAGTAATAATAATAATAATAATAATAATAATAATAATAATAATAATAACTTTATTTATACCCCGCTACCATCTCCCCAAGGGACTCGGTGCGGCTTACATGAGGCCGAGCCCAAAGTACATCAACAGTAAAAGCAATAAGAAAACAATCAATACAACAGTTAAAATAAATCTCATAAACAAAAGTAAACAATAAACAGTAACAATAACAACAAGCATTTAAAACCTATGGCTGGGCCAAATGCAATAATTTAAAATTTAAAAAATAATGCTGGACATGGACAAGGTAGGATATAACTGGGATAGAGTTTTCAGGTAGAGATGGGGCGCGCAGGCAATCCTAAATCAGTGATAAAGTGCATTTTGCTGAGGGTATTTCCTTATTCTGGGAAGGCACACTGGAACAACCACATTTTCAGGCTCCTCCTAAAGACTGCCAGAGTTGGGGCATGCTTGATGTCCTTGGGGAGTGAGTTCCAGAGTAGGGGGGGTCACCACTGAGAAGGCCCTCTCCCTCGTCCCCACCAACTGTGCCTGCGATACAGGTGGGAGTGCAAGCAGGGCTTCTCCAGGCCGCCTGGTACCAGCACTGGTTTTATTCTGCCACCAAGTTAAACCTGAGCTCCTTATTCAAATCCTTGCATCCAAATATGTACATTAACTGCTTTGACTTTTTAAATTGTTTAATCACTATCACTCAGAGATCTTATGACATAAAGACAAAGGTTTCCCCTGACATTAAGTTTAGTCAATTCTGACTTGGGGGGTTGGTGCTCATCTCCATTTCTAAGCCGAACAGCCAACGTTGTTTGTAAATGCCTCCTATTATTATTATTATTATTATTATTATTATTATTATTATTAAAAACTTTTATATCCCGATCTTCTCTACCTCCGTAAAGGGCCTGAGACCGGCTAACAGCATGGATATAATGCTAAACAGCACAGTCTAAAACATCAAAACAATTTAATAACAAACAAAATTGTTTAATCATTATTTCTCAGAAATCTTATGACATAAAGGGAAAGGTTTTCTCTGACATTAAGTTGTTTGTAAATGCCTCCTATCTTTATTAGTGTTGTTGTTGCTGTTGTTGTTGTTTAGAACTTTTATATCCCAATCTTCTTTACCTCCATAGAGGGACTCAGACCGGCAAACAGCAAGGATTCAATGCTAAACAGTACAGTCTAAAACATCAAAACAATCTAATAACAAACAAAATTGTTCAATCACTATTGCTCAGAGATCTTATGACATAAAGGCAAAGGTTTCCCCTGACATTAAGTTTAGTCAATTCCGACTTGTTTGTAAACGCCTCCTATTATTATTATTATTATTATTATTATTATTATTATTATTATTATTATTCAGAATGCTCTTTGATTGTAGGTGAACTATAAATCCCCAAAACTACAACTCCCAAATATCAAACCCTCTTTTCCTCAAACTCCACCAGTGTTCACATTTGGGCATATTGAAGATTTGTGCCAAGTTTGGTCCAGATCCATCATTGTTTGAGTCCACAGTGCTCTCTGGATGTAGGTGAACTACAACTCCAAACTCAAGGTGAATGCCCACCAAACCCTTCCAGTATTTTCTCTTGGTCATGGGAGTTCTGTGTGCCAAGTTTGGTTCAATTCCATCGTTGGTGGAGTTCAGAATGCTCTTTGATTGTAGGTGAACTATAAATCCCAGCAACTACAACTCCCAAATGACAAGCTCTCTTTCTCCCAAATTCCACCAGTGTTTACATTTGGGCATATTGAGCATTCGTGCCAAGTTTGTTCCAGATCTATCATTGTTTGAATCCACAGGGGATTCAATGATAGATCCACAGGGGATCTATCATTGTTTGAATCCACATTGTTTGAATATTTGGATTACTGTGGATTCCCAAATGCCAAAATCAACCACACTCCCAATTCCACTGGGGCGTATCGGGTATTTGTACCAAACTGGGTTCAGTGAATGAAAAAATATCCTACATATCAGGTTTTTAAATGACGATTCGTAGCAGCAGCAAAATTACAGTTACGAAGCAATGAAAATAAAGTTATGGTTGGGGGTCACCACTACATGAGGAACTGTATTAAGAGGTTGCGGCATTAGGAAGGTTGAGAACCACTGCCTTAAGGTAATTTTATGCACAATATTTGTAATAATGTTGTTCATGAAAAAAAGTTTGCATACACTCAACCCTTAGAAAACAAAGCTGTCACTATCTCAGATTTTCAAGCATTTCAGGTGTCTAGACACCTGCTCAACCTGTAGAACAGGAAAGCAAATAATCATAGAATCAAAGAGTTGGAAGAGACCTCATGGGCCATCCAGTCCAACCCCATTCTGCCAAAAGCAGGAATATTGCATTCAAATCACCCCTGACAGATGGCCATCCAGCCTCTGTTTAAAAGCTTCCAAAGAAGGAGCCTCCACCACACTCCGGGGCAGAGAGTTCCACTGCTGAACAGCTCTCACAGTCAGGAAGTTCTTCCTCATGTTCAGATGGAATCTCCTCTCTTGTAGTTTGAAGCCATTGTTCCGCATCCTAGTCTCCAAGGAAGCAGAAAACAAGCTTGCTCCCTCCTCCCTGTGGCTTCCTCTCACATGTTTATACATGGCTATCATATCTCCTCTCAGCCTTCTCTTCTTCAGGCTAAACATGCCCAGCTCCTTAAGCCGCTCCTCATAGGGCTTGTTCTCCAGACCCTTGATCATTTAGTCGCCCTCCTCTGGACACATTCCAGCTTGTCAATATCTCTCTTGAATTGTGGTGCCCAGAATTGGACACAATATTCCAGGTGTGTTCTAACCAAAGCAGAATAGAGGGGTAGCATGACTTCCCTAGATCTAGACACTATGCTCCTATTGATGCAGGCCAAAATCCCATTGGCTTTTTTTTGCCGCCACATCACATTGTTGGCTCATGTTTAACTTGTTGTCCACGAGGACTCCAAGATCTTTTTTCACACGTACTGCTCTCGAGCCAGGCATTGTCCCCCATTTTGTATATTTGCATTTCGTTTTTCCTGCCAAAGTGCAGTATCTTGCATTTGTCCCTGTTGAACTTCATTTTGTTAGTTTCGGCCCATCTCTCTAATCTGTTAAGATTGTTTTGAATCCTGCTCCTGTCCTGTAATATATATTTCCCTTCAACGAACACTAATAACTGTCACTCCAGTGATTTCAGGACTCAAGAGAATTGTCTTCCCATTCATGAAAAATAATTATTTTGACTGTGTGATGGTTTAATTAGCTACTTTGATAGTGTGATAGTTTTATTAACTGCTTGTAAAAAAGGTTTATTTTGATAATGTTTTCTCTTTGCACAGGTCATACTAACATGAAGAGCACGCTGAAGAGAACGTGGCTATCATGGCAAGGGAGTTTTTTCTTACCTTTCTCCTTGTCCAAAGGAGGGAGGATGCTATTGTCCCGGCAGACCTTGAAATAGATCTCCTGCTCGATGCCCTCGGGGATGGCTCCTTGGGGTATAATTATGCTCACGCCAGTCTCTATGGAGCTCAGGACACCGCCGTTGCTGTTAAAAACGCCTCTCGCCGTGGCTACGACAGTGTGTCCATCCTCTTCATCATCATCTTCCAAAGCAGATGGACTGAAATCAGAGAGACATAATGGTTTGTTTTTTTTAAAAAAATAATTTGTATTGATTAATATAAACAGAAAAAAATTAAAATGTAGTTGAGTAAAAAAAATGTATATAAAGTATATGTTTTCACATGCTGTTGTAGTTCAGCGTGATGCTAACGGTGCTACTACTGGTAGGAGGGAGAAGCGGGCTGCGCAGGTGTTGGAAGAGGAGCAGCAGCGAAAGCGGATTAGGGAAATAATCATGGCCCCGAGTGATTCTGAGACCTTTGAAGTTTTCTTCGATTGTGAGATGGGGGATGGGGAGGAATGCAGGGGAGTCAAGCGGGTTACTCGCGACTCAGAGTCTGATGAGGAAGAACAAAGGAAGCGTATTTGTGATATACCTACCGCTCCTACAGAGGACGAAGATTTCATGGGCTTTGAAAGGAGTGATGGGTCTGGGAGTGACATGGGAGAAGAGGATGGGATTGATTGGACCTGTGTACAGGAGATTAGGGATATCTGTAACCAACCCACCTCCAGCGATGATTTTGAGGGGTTCACAGAGGAATGGCAACCGGGGAGCACTTGGCAAGATCTAAGTCTTGACAGACGCTGGCAGAGGTGGAGGGATGGGTGCATGGGTTCAGCTGCAGGGAATGGGGCAGCTGAGAGCGATGAGGAAAGGGTCGGGAGCTCCTCATCCTCTGATGAGGAACTTTAGGATAAAAGTGAGTACTGTTTGCATGACTCTTTGCAGAAGGCAAAGTGTCTCTTTTGGGGTGTGAATCTTTGTTGCTGCCAATTCCTGAGCTTGGGTCCTTGGACTTCAGATTCCTGTGTTCCTGCGTTCCTGTGCTCACTTCTTGTGACTCTGCAAACTACAACTTCTACTCTACGGCTTGAATCCGGACTGCTTTGGGACAACGCGCTTTTGCTTCTTGGACTTTGTTTACCTGCCTGCATTGTGCTTCGACTTCGGACCATTTTGAGAACTGTGTTTTTGCTTGCTCCTAGTTTGCTTTTGTATCTTCTGTGAACTGTGTGAGCTTAAAGCGAATTGCTAAATACCTTAGTTAAACCGGATTATACGCCAGGATAATCCGGGTTATGTTTCAGTTGCTTTTTTCACTTTGTTTTTGATATCAACTCTTTCTTTGCGCTTTTAGCACTGAAGTAAGTGCTCCAAAGACTTTTGAGATTTTGTGAATAATAAAACTGTGTTTGAACTCTGCATTGTGTTGGGCTCCTTTAAGGTTCTGGGTCTTGACACATGCACTGATAGGATAGTAGGAAAGAGGAAGAGAAAAAAATGAGAATATATATATGTGTGCGTGTGTGTGTGTGTGTAAAAGAAAAAAGGAAAAGAAAAAAAGAAAAAAAGGTGTGGATTTGACTTCCATTCTTGTTCATAGCAGTTCATCTTTTTTATATGTGTGTGTGTGTGTGTATAATATATATATATATCTCAGTAGCCATCTCCTGCCACATGTTGCTGTGGCCCAGTGTGTGTATATGTGTTGTGTATGTGTAAATATCTGTTTACATGTGGTTTTGTGCATGCGCTGTAATGTATTTTTTATTTTTTGGCTTTTAAGTCTCTTCCACTGTGTTTTTATAAGTGAAGGACATTTGTTAGGCTAATAATAACAAGTGTTTGGGGGGGGGGGGTGTGACCTTCCTTTCTGGGAGTTGTAGTTCACCCACAACCAGAGAAACTGACCTCCACTGATGGTGGACCTTGGCCAAATTTGGCACACAGAATCCCCATGACCAACTGAACCTACTGGAGGTGTTTGAGGGGACTGTGGTAGTTTTACCTACAGCCAGAGAGTACACTTAACTCCAAGAGCAAACTTGCCCAACATGACAAACTTTAAGCACTGATGGAATTAAAGGGGGTTAACCTGACATGATGTGAGTTGTAGTTCACCCACAACCTTATGCATTTTGTAAATTTTTAAAAAATGCCTTTTTCAAATAACCCAGACAACGCTGGGTCCCCAAGCTAGTATAATATAAATATAAAGGTCCAATATGTCTGACCCCGACTAGCTCCGGTTATATTTCATTTAGTCCCATGAAACCAATTAATTCTCAGGCACAGGGAGAGCCTCACCTTACAGGAATGGCTTTAGGCACAGCATTGATATTATTTGGTTGGTATTTGAGCTTGTCGGAGAAGGTATCCACCGTGCTGTCGAACTCCGGCTGGGATGTGCTGTGTGCTTTTAAGAGAGGCTGAGGAGAATTCTGGGGTTTGGATGGCAACTCTGGTTTATTATGCTGATTCTCATCTGGCAGGAGGTTGTGGTTGAATTTGGGGCTCTCAAACTTGCGCTCAAAGGGCCGAGCGGCGCTTGTGTAAGGTTTTGTTGTGAAGCGGTTGTAAGCGGGAGTGACCGTCTTTGGGATCGGATCAGTTCCGTTCACCGGCCCCTTGTCGGGGAAGCTCTTCTGGGGATAGTAGGTGGACTGCACGGTGTCTTCTCGGCTGGACGATCGGAAAGCCGCCGGCTTATTCTGAGGTGGCGGTGGCTCAGGCTTCGTGAGGGTGGAGTTCTGGAAGTCTGACACAGAGTTCACTGCAATTAGACAGATAGGAAACAAATATGAGTGAAATGAAATGCCAAGGTAGGATTTTTCACCATGGAAATTATTTTGGCAAGGAAAGTTTCCGTATTTCCTTGAAAATAAGACACTGTCTTATATTTATTTTCCCTCCAGAAGACACACTATGTGTTGTGACTCAGCTGGAACCTCAGAGTGTCTCTGATGAGGATGATGGGACTCAGGTTCACAGCTTGGTTCAAAAGGACCCTATTATAGACAGTGAAGAAGTGCAGTTTCCCACAGCAAGGAATGAAAGTATTGATACTGAAATTAGCCAGGTGCAGGTGCAGATTGACTTAGAGAAGGAGGACAGTTCTCAGCCTGATAATGATAATGAGCAAACAGGGAAACAGGCTGACACTAACGAACAGACTGACCGTGATGAAATGGGAACCTTAGATCGGACTGACCGTTTGGAATTCAAAGTTCGAAGGAGTGTGAGAATAGCTAACAGGAAGGAGGCCAGAGGCCAGAGAATAGCTAACAGGAAGGAGACCAGAGGCCTTCATGTTTTGCAAAGGGTATTAAGCTGTAGGTTTGAGACCAAAACTTTGTCAAAGCAACTTTGCGTTTTAACAGGAAGCTTGCCTTTGCTTTTATGGATTATCTTGCATTCTTGTGCTCATGTTTTCAGGACTTTGCCATGTTCTCTTGGGTTTTTGTTTTGCTGGTGCCTCTTTGGATTAATCTTCAAAGTGGTTTTTTATATTGCTCTTTTGTAACAGTGCCTTTTGCTTTTAAGAACTTTTTGACCTTTTATTTTTAATAAACTATAAAGACTTCTGGCTGTGGGCAGTTTGGTGTTTTTCAGCAAGGTGAATCTACTCTGAGGTGCAACACTATGGCTTATTTTCAGGGTATCTTTTTTTTTTATTATGTACTAGTTGTACCCATCACGTGTTGCTGTGTCCAACCTTCCCTCCCTCTTTCTTTCTCTCCTTCCTTTTGTTATTTATTTATTTATAGTATTTATATTCCGCCCTTCTCACCCTGCAGGGGACTCAGGGCGGATTACAATGTACATATACATGGCCAACATTCAATGCCATAGACAGACAGCATATATAGACATTCCAGCTTTTTGATGAGGGTATTCTGGCCACCAGGGGAGCTGTTGCTTCACCATCCATTTGTGACACTGATGAAGTACTTCCTCATTCTTTGCATGCTTGCTGGAGATTTTTATGGCCTTGTAAATTAGTTAAATTAGCCTCCCCACATAAGTGGTACCTAAATTTCCTACTTGACAGATGCAACTGTCTTTCGGGCTGCACCGGTTGACAGCAAGCTACACAAATTGGTCAGAAGCTCAGTCCGACCTGGGCTGGCTTCGAACTCATGACCTTTCAGTCAGTAGTGATCTTAATGCAGCTGACTCCCAGCCAGCTGCACCGCACTCCCAATGCACGGTTCTTTCCTCTTTCCTTCCTTCCTTTCCTTTTCTCCTTCCTTCCCTACCTATTTCCTTCCTTTCCCTTTTTCTTTTCTTTCTCCTTTCTTCTCTGCCTCTTTTTCCTTCTTTCCTTCGCTCTTTGTTTCCATCCTTCCTTCTCTTTACCTTTCTTTCCCTCCCTCTTTCTCTCCTTCCTTCCCTCCCTCTTCCCTTCCATTCTTCCTTCTCTCTTTTCTTCTTTCCTTCCTTCCCCCCCTTTTATCTTTCCTTTCTTGTCTATAAAGCTGCCCCCACCATCACGCACCATTCTCCCAAGGCGCTCTGTCCATACTCAGGGGTGCCTTCAACTCACCCAGGCTCATCCTTCTCCTGCTCCTGCAGGAAGGATCTTATTTCTCTCTTGGTCACTCTCTCTCTCTGCGGGGCCTAAGCGACCTTGATTGCCTTCCTGCCTCCTTGCCAAGTGGGAGCTCTTTCGCAGTGACACCAAGCCCGGAAGAGAAAGTGAAGAGGAGGCAGGGAGGGAGGAAGGAAGGCAAACAGTGACTGGCATCATCGCTGCTGCCTGTGGAGGTCAGAGCACCTACTGCAGCTGAGCCAGAGCTTTGAGCAGCACTCTAAGGCCTCCTTCCACACCATCCGCTGTGAGTGGGATCCAGGTTTCTTAGGCCCCAAGGCACACAGGATAAACGGGTCACCTTTCTCTCCCTTTCTCAAACAGTTCCTTTCTTGGCTGCTTGGATTTCTTCTCTCGTGCAGGAGGGGGCAAGGCCAAGGGGAGTTGTTTTTGCGCATGTGCTGTATTGTCTTTTAGGTTTTTGGGGTTTTAAATTCCTTTCTGCTGTTTTTTGGAGGGAGTTTATGAGTGATGGTCCCTCGTTGGTCTGTTAGGTGTATAGTGTCCAAATTTCGTGTCAATTCATCCAGTGGTTTTTGAGTTATATTAATCCCACAAACTAACATTAGATTTTTATTTATATATACTAGCTGTTTCCTGCCATGCATTGCTGTGGCCCAGTCTGTGTATATGTGCTTTGTCTGTGTATATATATTTGAGTATATGTGTATATATATATGTGTTTGTGTATATATATATGTGGTTTTGCGCATGCATTGTAATGTGTTTTCTTTTGCTTTTTTGTCTCTTCTGCTGTGTTTTTCAGTGATGGTCACTCATTGGCCTGATACGTGTATTGTGTCCAAATTTGGTGTCAATTCGTCCAGTGGTTTTTGAGTTATGTTAATCCCACAAATGAACATTACATTTTTATTTATATACTAGCCATCCCCTGCCACGCGTTTCTGTGGACCAGTCTATGTGTGTTGAATCATATATATCTATCTATATCTATGGCTGAAACCATATTTAATAATCTAGAGCTGATGTGGTCTATCTAAGGGGGCGGGATGTCATATGTTCTACAGTTGATGGTGGTTGGTGGTGGTAGACCTGGCAGTTGGGGATGGAAGGGTTAATGTAAGTCTTGGTTCTAAAGGGCTGAGTAGTTTGTAAGTAACAGTTTACAGGTAAAAGCAATTAAGGGTGGAGGTGTGCAGGAGATGGGTTGCAGCTGGGTGTTACTGGATTTAAGGTGTTAACTTTGAAACTTATCTTTGGGAGAAAAGTATCTGATGCATTTTGGTGGTGGATGTTGCTTGGTTTTTCCCCCAGGTCTGTTGGATTTTTGGTGTCCTGACCTGTTTTCTGTAATCTTGGAATCCTGGAACCTTTGGACTGGCTTTTGACTACGGTATACTCTTGATCCCTGGACTCTGTTATTGAACTCTCGGCATTTGACCTTTGGACGGGATCTTTTTGACTACGAAGTTATTTTTGCTGTCAGTTTTGTTTATTCTGTAGCTGCGTGCTGTCTTTGTGTTTTATATTTTGGACTATAAAAACAGCCAGCAAGTAAGTGCTGTTTTAATTAAACTGTTTGTTAAAACTGGGAGTTTTGATTCATCTCTACCTAAACAAGGTAGAGCCCTAGCAATGTGACAGGTAGCCAGCTCAGCTCATGTTGAGCTGGGTTACCATGGAAACAAGGGCGGAGCCAACTTGGCAAGGCAGCCATCTTAAAACAGTTAGTCTACAGTCTGTGAACTGTAGGAGTGGCTGGTTTTGTTGAGTAGTGAGAACCAGGAAAGTAATCTGTGGTTTAAAAACTACAGGTAAAGGCTGATTCTATAGTAGAGGGAATCAGGAAGGTTTTGGCTTTTAGCCTGAGTAGTTCAAATAAGTTGAGTTGACTTAATTATATTAATGAATGAGAGAAAGGGTGAGAGAAACCCAGTGAGGATCTCTATTGCAACAGAAACATCACAAAGAAAGAATAAGCTTGTAATTGAAGTAACCTATTAAGGAAAGAAACACAGTTTAAAGAAAAATAAGTTTGAAACCTGTTTAAAGTTTAAAGAAAAATAAGTTTGAAACCTGTTTAGTGGAAGGAGGTGTCCTTCCCAGAGTTGTTTAAGGAATGTTATAAATGTAACCTTTGAAGATTTGTGCCTCTAAGAGTTAAGTTACATTGAAACCATCATGCTCCTTCTACATTTCAATAAACTTGTTACTGTTTTTCCTAAAGCCTTGTCTGTGATACAATTCCTTTCCAAGTTAAGTCACGCTACACAGAAGAAAGATCAAATCAATATTATTAGCTATAAGCTATGCTGTCAATTTAATAAGCACTTACAGAGTGGTGGCTCCTTTACAAATGTTTACAAATTGGTGGCCTCATCACAAATTAGTGGTATCTTCGTGAATCGTTACACTACCATTATTTCCATGCACAGCAATATGCGGTACATTTACCGATCCCAATATTTATGAACACAAAGCAAGATTTATTCAATGCATGCTCTCGTGTTCTGTTCGACAGGAATGCTTCCAAACAAAAATTCTACTAGGTCTTACTTTTGGGAGATGCCTTATATTTTGCAATTCACCAAAACCTCTACTAGGTCTTATTTTTAGGGGATGTCTTATTTTTGGGGAAACAGGGTACATGGCCATAATGTAGATCTCTCAAAACAGCAGAACATTGAAAAACAAGTCTTCAAAAAATGAGGGATGCCTGTGATATGGACAGAATAAACCAGAAATGTTAAACATCAGGGATTTACCTGCAGTAAGTGCAGACTTAGGCTGAAGAGACACAACAGGGTTGTTCATGGACTGAGGCTGGGTATATTGTACCGGAGGCACAGGCGGAGAGGGGGTCACTTGAGGAACCGGCTCATAACGCTTCTCACCAACAACCCTATCCAACGGCTCTACGTCTATCGACTTGGCCCTGTTTGGATGAAAGGAAAAAAGAAAGGAAAGGAGGAAGAGGAAATCAGAAGAAAAACCACAGTTCAGTTCCAGATTTTTCTACCCCCTTTACCTTCTTGGTGCTGTTCTGTCCTGAGTTGCCCTTCAAAAACAGCCTTTAGACAATGTTGAAAGTAAAAGAAAAATGCTTCACTTCAGAAAACACAAAGGATAAGCAAATGCAATTGAAAAGTGCAAGAGAAAGCAAGGAAGTCTTAATCCAGACACAAATTAAAGCCTCTTACGAAGTCCCAAATAAAACACCATTCTTCCATCAGACAACGGGCAATGAACTAAGTTCTCAGTAGCAGACACAAAGCAGATTCCATTGGAGTGAAAAAAATCAGTATCAGGATTGTTGTTAGCAGTGAAAGCTGACTGCTCCTGCCACTGATTTATAGCCTTGATTTCCCCACGCAGGAGGTGCTAGGGTGTCTCCCAATTAGCTCATTGTTTTTAGCAGCTATTCTGGCTGAACGCCGTCTGTGCTCTGTCTTTTCATCTCTCTAGAAATGTGGGCACTTTCAAACCCTCATCATCTAATTCTTCTTCTCCCTCCAATTCCTGAGCACTTCCCTGCTCCCCTTCCCCAACATGCTCCTAGTTGTTTCCTTTTTTCAGAAAATACGTATTTAGGATTTCTCATTTTCTTTGCATTGGCCAGGGATCTCTACAAGTGAGCCCAAAAAAGCTGGTGCTATTCAGATCTTGTTTGGTTTCATCCCTGGACTGCACAAGTCTCCGGACCTTAATGAGTACATAGAAATAGGATCAGGCTGAGGGATCCTCTACCCACACATCCCTATGCATGTTTACCAAAAAGGACTTGTCTTTCCCCCTCCTGCCAGCCAATGTCTCCTCCCCCTTTGAATAAGTAGAAATGGAATTCTGTGAGGGAACTTTCTTTTTAAAGGTATTTTTATTGCCCTGGGCTTGGCCATGAAGCCATTCGACATTTCATGGAATCATAGAGTTGGAAGAGACCTTGTGGGCCATCCAGTCCAACCCCATTCTGCCAAGAAGTAGGAAAATCACATTCAAAGCACCCCTGATAGATGGCCATCCAGGCTCTGGTTAAAAGACTCCAAAGAAGGAGCCTCTGCCACACTACATGGCAGAGAGTTCCAATGCTGAACAGCTTTCAGTCAGGAAGTTCGTCCTAATGTTCAGGTGGAATCTTCTTTCCTGTATTTTGAAGCCAGTGTTCCGCGTCCAATCTCCAGGCAGCAGAAAGGAAGCTTGCTCCCTCCTCCCTATGACTTCCTCTCACATATTGACACATGGCTATCATGTCTCCTCTCAGCCTTCTCTTCTTCATTTTCCAGTTTCTCTTGTGCCTTTTTGTCATGTATCATGTTCTTTAGTTGAGGGTGGTTGGTGGTGGCAGGCCTAGCAGATGGTGATGGACGGGTTGATGTAAGTCTTGGTTCTAAAGGGCTGAGTAATCTGTAAGTGGAAGTTCATGGATGAAAGCAAGGGTGGAAGTATGCGAGAGATGGGTTGCAGATGGGTGCTTCTGGATATAAGGAGCTAACCTTGGCACCGATCATCAGGAGAAATGTATTTGTTTTATCTTGGTGGTAGATGCTGCTGGTTTCCCCCCAGGTTTGTGGATTTCCGGTGTCCTGACCTGTCTCCTGAACCTTTGGAATCCTGGAACCTTGAATCTTTTGGACTGGCTTTTGACTACGGTATAGACTCTTGATCCCTGGACTTTGTTTATTGAACTCTCGGCGTTTGACCACTGGACTGGACCCTTTGACTACGGAGTTATCTTGAACCTGCAACAGTGTTTGATGTTTTTGTTCTGTATTCTGTGGATGAGTGCAATCTTTATGTTTTATATTTTGGACTATCAAAACAGCCACAATAAGTACTATTTTAATTAAATTATTTTATACAAACTGGGTTTTTGTTTGGTTCATCTTTGCCTCTGTAAAGGCAGAGCCCTGGCATTGTGACACTTTTCTTCCTTCCAGTGAGGATGCACATTTTGCCTCTCTGTAGGCAAAATGTAGCTGCATGGAATTTTTTTTTAACTTTTTACCCTTTAACCTTTCTTAAAAGATGAGACCTAGTAATCTATTTACTTCCAAGACCTTTTCTATTAATAATGTATTTCTTTTACTTCAATAAATACTTCTGAAGCTAAAATTCTGACTCTGCAATCCTGTGTCATCTCATGGAGAGAAAGCTTATCCTAACTTGCCACACATAAGTTTCTGCTGGTTATGAAGTTTAATTCTGTAACTTCGCTATATTTATGGTGGAATCACCCCAATTGAGGGTTATTTTTTGAGCCTAACAGTTCAGATTCCCCAACAGATCCCAAACTACAACTCTCAGTATCTCTGAATGTTAGCCAAGCTGGATGAGGCTGATGGGAGGTGCACTACAAAATATAAAGTGTGACCTGGATTGCTTTCACTCCATTTAAAGAGAGCTTAGACGAATCTCCAAGCCACTCAGGTTTGTGGAAAGGAGCCATTTACAAGGAACAGGAAATGAAGGCCATAAGGTGCACTGTAGCTAATATCACCAGGACAGACAAAGGTAAAACTGTTGGAAAAAAGTTGACTGAGTGGACATCTTTCCAGGTATGTTAGCAACACAAGAATAATGTTTGTTCGGACCTCCAAAAATCACCTGTGGAGGTGATGTGCATTCTTTCATAGCACTGCACCTTTCTGCAAGGGTCTGAACAGATTCTAGAAATGTTAGCATAACTCTCTTGTAATGCCCAGAACTAAAAGAAAGAATAATATAAAAGAAAGAGAGCTGACAACAACAACGAGGTGTTAGAAAGATTAGTAGCACAAACCAAAGGAGATGGCAAACAAGAGACAGATGTGTTGCCAAAGGTTTTCATGGCCGGAATCACTGGGTTGCTGTGAGTTTTCCAGACTGTATGGTCATGCAGCAGAAGCATTCTCTCCTGATGTTTCACCCACATCTATGGCAGGCATCTTCAGAGGTTGTGAGGTATATTGGAAACTAGACAAGGAAGGTCTAGTTGCCTCCAAAAGACAGTTCTTTCTCCCACCTTGGACCTTAAACAGATATATAAACCTCCCTTGTCAGTTTCCAATATACCTCACAACCTCTAAGGATGCCTGTCATAGATGTGGGCAAAACGTCAGGAGAGAATGCTTCTGGCATGTGGCCATACAGCCCGGAAAACTCACATCAACCAAGAGACAGATGGCATTTGGGGTATATTTTTTTGCCTCTGTGTTCATTTGTATTTTCTAATTTGGCTCATAAGCCAAAGAAATATACTGTATATAATCGAGTATAAGCCGACCCGAATATAAGCTGAGGCACCTATTTTACCACAAAAAAAAAACTGAGAAAACATATTGACTCGAGTATGGGAAATGCAATGCTACTGGTAAATTTCAAAATAAAAATAGATACCAATAAAATTACATTAATTGAGGCATCAGGAGGTGAAATATTTTTGAGTATTTACATAAAACTGTAATTTGAGATATGACTGCCCAACTCTGATTAAATCATTATTCTAACCTTCTTCAATGTAAATGTACTTATGTATCCTTCCAGCAATAAAAAGGTGAATAAAATAATAAATGTAATAATAATAATAATAATAATAATAAAGTGAGTAAACTAATAAATGTAATAATAATAATAATAATAAATAGGGATAAAAGTTTTTTTTTTTGTCGTGTCAGGAGCGACTTGAGAAACTGCAAGTCGCTTCTGGTGTGAGAGAATTGGCCGTCTGCAAGGACGTTGCCCAGGGGACCCAGATGATTTGATGTTTTTATCATCCTTTGTGGGAGGCTTCTCTCATGTCCCCGCATGAGGAGCTGGAGCTGATAGAGGGAGCTCATCCGCCTCTCCCCGGATTCGAACCTGCGACCTGTCAGTCTTCAGTCCTGCTGGCAAAGGGGTTTAACCCACTGTGCCACCAGGGGCACCTTATAATAAAATAAAATAATGGAAATGCAATAATAACAGTAATAATAGAGAAAATAATAAATGCAATAATAAAGTAAAATAATAAATGTAATAATAATCATAAATAGTGTAAAATAATACATGTAATAATAATAATAATAATAGGGTAAAATACTGTAAATGTAATAATAATAAAGTGTCAGGTTTTACAATGTATTGTAATGTAACAAACTGAGTCATGCACTGCTAATAGGCTTCTGTTGGGAATGCTGAGTCATGCATTGATTGTATATGGGGAATCATTTGGGGAATGTGTTCTGGCCTACTCCAGGTGATTGTGAATCATGCAATCCTGGGTTTGGGTTGGGTCAATTAGTTGGTAACCAATCAGAGATTGCTATGTGTAAATGAATTGTATATAAGGAAGTCATGTACAGTGTATTCTCTCTCCTTGTGTTGTGATGTTGTTCGTCGAAGGCTATATGTAATTAAAGAACTTGTCTGCTAGGATAAGATATGGCTGCGTGCTGTGGTGAGTCTGTAATATCATCTAGACTAGGGGAAAGACAATGGTAAAACTGATAATGGCCGGGCATCTGCTCAAGTATTTGTAAAAGGTTCCAGCGTGGCTGCAGGCTGTGAGAGCAGTTGACTGAAAAGAACTGTGCAGGAAGAAGCTACTGGAAAGTTGTGCAACTGATCTGCTGCTGGACGGCGAAGTTAATCTCAACATAAAGGGAGTAAAATAATACATGAAATAAAAATAATACTAATAACAGAGTAAAATAATAAATAACCTTGACTCCAGTATTAAGCCGAGGGGAGCTTTTTCAGCCTAAAAAAGGGGCTGAAAAATTACGCTTATACTCAAGTATATACAGTAATTTAAATTTAGGAATTACAAGTAGACATGTACCCAAGAGTTAAGGGTGACGCTCCAAACTTGGGACATGTCACAACTTGACATAAATACACCGAAACACATCCAATGGTCGATATTTACAATGCCATCTTTGCCAGAAAAGCAGAAAGCTTAAGTTTCACAAGCTTTATGTGCAACATGTTTAGCTGGTTAAAGGGGGAGAGAAAAGTTAATTTTTCAGATTTCTTTTTTAAATGATCTCAACTGTATTCAATGCAGTGCCCAATTCCTATCAAAATTGGGCTCAAGTCATCTTGAAGCTGCCTTTGGGTTTTTTTTCCCTGCACATAATGCCTGTGATCAAACATAAGAGGAGAGAGGACAGGAAACCATCCTCACGTCAACAGTGTTCTTACCACTTGATGCTCCTTTTCAAGTAGCCATAGTTAGAATAAGAGCCAAGAAATCTAGGTGGCGGCAAAGCAAACGGCAATAGAATAAAATGGGGAAAAACTAGTCATTCTGGCTTCACTTTCCAAACAAATTGTCCAAACAAAACAAAACACACACACACATACACAAAAGGCACAAACTCACAATCTAAACCCAAACCATACAAGATGCTTTAAAGCAGTGTTTCTCATCTCAAGGATTGGGACCCCTGGAAGGGTCGTGAGGCACTGTGGCGCAGCTGGCTGGGAGTTCATGAGTTCGAAGCCAGCCCGGGTCAGAGTGAGCTTCTGACCAGTTTGTGTAGCTTGCTGTCGACCTTTGCAGCCCAAAAGACAGTTGCATCTGTCAAGTAGGAAATTTAGGTACCGCTTATGCAGGGAGGCTAATTTACGAGGCCATAAAAATCTCCAGCAAGCATGCAAAGAATGAGGAAGTACTTCAACAGTGTCACAAATGAGTGTCACAAATTGAGTCGCCTGTCCAGGCTGAAAAATGCGGTATACAAATAAAGCAAATAATAATAATAATAATAATAATAATAATAATAATAATAATGGACAGTGAAGCGACAGCTCCCCTGGTGGCCAGAATGCCCTTATCAAAAAAAGCTGGAAAGTTAAATAGCCTCTGTGTCTGTCTATATATGTTGTGTGTCTATGGCATTGAATGTTTGCCGTGTATATGTACATTGTAATCCGACCTGAGTCCCCTGCGGGGTGAGAAGGGCAGAATATAAATACTGTAAATCAATCAATTTTTGGAGGAGTCACCAAAGACTGTTATGAGAACTCTGGCTTGGCCACAGTGGTCCAAGCTCTTGTTACATCCCGAATAGACTACTGCAACACACTCTACGTGGGGCTACCTTTGGAGACTGCCCAGAAGCTTCAACTAGTCCAACGGTTGGCAGCCAGGTTGCTCACCGGAGCGACGTACAGGGAACATACAACTCCTTTGTTACGCCAACTCCACTGGCTACTGATCAGCTTCTGAGCACAATTCAAAGTGCTGGTTTAAATCTTTAAAGCCCTAAACGGTTCTGGCCCAGACTACCTGTCTGAATGTACCTCCTCCCACGAACAATCACGAAGCTTAAGATCTATAGGAGAGGCCCTGCTCTCGATCCCACCACTATCGTAAATGTGGTTGATGGGGATAAGAGACAGGGCCTTCTCAGCAGTGGCCCCCGCCTATGGAATGCCCTCCCTAGAGATATCAGATTGGCCACCTCCCTCTTGTCTTTTAGAAGGAACATCAAGGCCTGGTTAGGGGACCAAGCGTTTGATCAGTGAGCAACAAGTGGAAGAAGATCACACAACTTATGGCAATGAATTGACCCGAACTAGTTTTGTGGATTTCGATTTTAATTGATGTGACTTAATTGTTTTAATTGTTATTTTTAATATTTTGATTGTACTGTGGTTGTTTTTATGATGCTAGTGTTGTATGATGCTTTTGTTAGGCCACCCTGAGTCCCCCTTTGGGGGGAGAAGGGCGGGGTATAAATATAGGAAATAATCTATATAAATAAAAATGAAATGTTTGTTTGTGGGATTAACAGAACTCAAAACCCACTAGACGAATTCACATCAAATTTGGACACGAGACACCTAACAACCCAATGTATGTCTTTCACTCAAAAAAATCAAGTTTGTCATTTGGGAGTTGTAGTTGCTGGGATTTATAGTTCACCTACAATCAAAGAGCATTCTGAACCCCACCAATGATGGAATTGAACCAAACTTGGCACACGGAACTCCCCTGATCAACAGAAAATACTGTTTCCAAAAAGGAAGAGAAGGACATGCAAAGAGATCTTTAGCCTTCTCTGCCAAAGGGGTTCCTAACACCATCAGAAATATATGTTTTCTAATATTAATTTATTTACTAGCCGTCCCTGCCACGCGTTGCTGTGGCCTACATGGGGGTTCTGTGTGGGAGATTTTGCCCAATTCTATCGTGGGTGGGGTTCAGAATGCTCTGTGATTGTAGGTGAACTATAAATCCCAGCAACTACAACTCCCAAATGTCAAGATTCTATTTTTCCCAAACTCCACTAGTGTTCACATTTGGGCATACTATTTGTGTAGAGTTTGGTCCAGATCCATCATTGTTTGAGTCCAAAGTGATCTCCGGATGTAGGTGAACTACAACTCCAAAACCAAAGGACATTGCCCACCAAACCCTTCCAGTATTTTCTGTTGACCATGGGAGAACTGTGTGCCAAATTTGGTTCAATTCCATCGTTGGTGGGGTTCAGAATGCTCTTTGATTGTAGATGAACTATAAATCCCAGCAACTACAACTCCCAAATGACAAAATCATTTTTTTTAGTGAAGGACATACATTGGGTTGTGATGTGTCTTGTGTCCAAATTTGGTGTCAATGCGTCCAGTGGTTTTTGAGTTCTGTTAATCCCACAAATACATTAATATAGATTAATGTATTAATAAATTTTATTATTGTTGTTATTATTATTGTTATTATTATTACCTTCACCATCACCCATTTTTTCCTCTCTTAAAAGAGACTCAAAGTAGGGCAGGAAATGCCTTTTTCGTTAGTTATGCAACAACAACAAAAAAAGTCTGGTTTTACAAGTGCACAAAGGATATCCTGGGATTTCTTGATCCACCTCTTGCTGTATGACATGTTGAAAACACAATACTGGGGAACAAGGAAAAAAGAAACAAACAATCTAGAGGCATGCAGACAGAGCAGAGGGCTTACTTGGAAGCGTAATTGGTGTAGTTGAGCTGATTATGGAGGTGGACTGGCTTTGCAGGCTCCGTGTGGAGGCTGGCAGGGACCTGAGCAGCCGGCTTGTTTTCAAAACTTCGGCGGTCGAAATAGGAGAGCTGCTTCCGGTAGTACTCCTCATCTTCCTCGGGGTCGTAGTGGTTTGCCCGAACTATGTCCTCGGGGGGCTTCGTTTGAGGTCTCTGTGGTTCTGGGGCTCTAAAACAAACAACGGTTCAAACATGTTTATGACACTTAAAAAAAAAAAGAATCAAAGGTAAAGGTTTCCTGCTGACATTAAGTCCAGTCATGCCCGACTCTGCGGGATGGTGCTCATCATTTCTAATCCAAAGAGCCGGTGTTGTCCGTAGACGCCTCCAAGGTCATGTGGCCAGAGGACAGGAGCAGGATTCAAAACGATCTTGACAGATTAGAGAGATGGGCCAAAACTAACAAAATGAAGTTCAACTGTGACAAATGCAAGATACTCCACTTTGGCAGGAAAAACGAAATGCAAAGATACAGAATGGGTGACGCCTGCTCGAGAGCAGTACGTGTGAAAAAGATCTTGGAGTCCTTGTGGACAACAAGTTAAACATGAGCCAACAATGTGATGGTGGAAAAAAAGCCAATGGGATTTTGGCCTGCATAAATAGGAGTATAGTGTCTAGATCCAGGGAAGTAATGCTACCCCTCTATCCTGCTTTGGTTAGACCACATCTGGAATATTGTGTCCAATTCTGGGCACCACAATTCAAGAGAGATATTGACAAGCTGGAATGTGTCCAGAGGAGGGCGACTAAAATGATCAAGGGTCTGGAGAACAAGCCCTATGAGGAGCGGCTTAAGGAGCTGGGCATGTTTAGCCTGAAGAAGAGAAGGCTGAGATGAGATATGATAGCCATGTATAAATATGTGAGAGGAAGCCACAGGGAGGAGGGAGCAAGCTTGTTTTCTGCTTCCTTGGAGACTAGGACGCGGACAATGGCTTCAAACTACAAGAGAGGAGATTCCATCTGAACATGAGGAAGACTTCCTGACTGTGAGAGCCGTTCAGCAGTGGAACTCTCTGCCCCGGAGTGTGGTGGAGGCTCCTTCTTTGAAGACTTTTAAGTAGAGGCTGGATGGCCACATGTTGGGGGTGTTTTGAATGCGATTTTCCTGCTTCTTGGGAGAATGGGGTTGGACTGGATGGCCCATGAGGTCTCTTTCAATTCTATGATTCTATCTAGAGCTGATGTGGTCTATCTAAGGGATTGGGGCTAGTCAGCAACAGGGAAGGAGTGGCAGGAGACGCGAAAGTAGCGGACATAAAAGAAATGAAATAAAATAAAATAAAGAGGAAGGAGGCTTGCAGACCAAATTTTCGTCCTCATGGCCCACTGGTGACCCACGGCCAACAGGTGCTCTACAGGCTTCTCTTCCCTGCCGTCATTCCCCATTTTGGCACCAAATGATAGGCATCTGATCAGTGCTGCCCCCTTCATGCATGAAGATGGCATTTACCTGTACGCTGGTTTATCGTGTTCATATTGATTTTGAGAGACTGGTTTTGGACCGCCCACTGGAGTGATGTTAGGCTTAGGTGCCAGCTCTGGAGGCTGCTAAAAAGACACAAAATAAGATCAAAACTCAACCAGGAAAGAGATTCTAAGCTGGTGCTTCAGCACTACTGCACAGAAAAAGCATCCTGAGGCTGGATTCGTGCAATAAAAGGCCTGATATAGCTACACCTCAGCACTTTTAAGCTGCTACTGATTGAAGACACTGACAGATATTGTCATTTGCTTAACTCTCCCCCATTGTGATCAATGGGGCTACACAAGCTCAACTTTAACTAAACAGTAAGTAATATCAAGCAAAAAGTGGGTGCTAGAAATAATATCATACGAAAGCTGACTGGCACAACCTGGGGATCACAACCAGACACAGTGAAGACATCTGCCCTTGTGCTATGCTACTCTGCTGCTGAGTATGCATGCCCAGTGTGGAACACATCTCACCACGCTAAAACAGTAGATGTGGGTCTTCATAAGACATGCTGCACTATCACAGGGTGTTTGCACCCTACACCATTGGATAAATTGTTTAGCCGGTATTGCACCACCTGACATCTGCCGGGAAGGAGCAACCAATAGTGAAAGGACCAAGGCAGTGACATCTCCATCCCATCCCCTGTTTGGATATCAGCCAGCACGTCAACGACTTAAATCAAGAAATAGTTTTCTAAGATCTACAGAGACACTTGCTGGAACACCCCAGCAAGCGAGAGTCCAAAAGTGACAGGCTCAAACCCAGAACCTCAACCAATGGCTGATACCAAATGAGAGACTCCCCCCTGGGCACACAGAAGACTGGGCGACTTGGAAGGCGCTGAACAGACTACGCTCTGGCACCACGAGATGCAGAGCCAACCTTAGGAAATGGGGCCACAAAGTGGAGGATCTTCTTGCAGCAACACCAGAGGCACTCCATGTGGCCAGCTACTGGTCAAAGGACATCTAATCAACTACCAAGCTTGCAAACTTTGTGTTTTGTTCGTTTTGTTTGTTAAAAAATGCAATACAACTGTTTGGTCTGCTCCTGACACGATAAATAAAACTAGACAGTCTCTTTCATATCTCCTCCCCTCAGTGTATGAAAGGAGTCAGTCTGAGAGAGACCTCAGTGTGAGAAGGCCTCAGTGGGAGAAAGGCCTCAGTATGAGAACACCTCAGTGTGAGAGAAGCTCCAGGTTGAAGGCCATTGTGTGTGAACTTCAGTGTGAGAAGAGGCTCTGTGAGAGCAAAGCTGTTTATCTGCATAAGAAAAAAGCCCAGCATGGAAGCAAAGAAGGAAGTGTAAAGATCTTTATTTGTGTCATGGAAACTCTGTTCTTGTAAATAGTGCTATAAAGAAAAGCCTCCTAAGGAAGAGATAACATTGGTCTGTGTGTTTTTGTTCTTTTTATCACTTTGGGCTACTGGTGCCGGGTCACACTGCTGTTGATAAGTTACTCTGCTGTACATTTATGAGAAGGGTCTTTCATTAATAATCCCACTCACCCAACACAAGTATCCTCTGATTGAGAAACTATGCCATGCCACAGAAGCATGTTCTCTCCAGGTCATAGGGCATGCCAACATAGGTCCTGCATAAGGATTTCAGGTAGAAATTAAGTGCTCCATGGAGGCCTACAGTGTGCTTACCTTGGCTATGGGAACTTCATTCGAGTCCTTGATTTTTTCCAGTGACGACGACCTTTTGTTTTCAAACATTTTGACTCTGGTGAGCACAGACTGAGGCTTCATGGCTGGGTCGTCCTCCTCCTCGGCTGGTTGGATAGGCAGTGGTTTACTGTTGGAAGGCAGAACTTCGGGTTTGCTTTGCAATGGAAGGGGAGGGTTGGGAGACGGTTCGTACGGCCCCGCCTTTGCACCAAAGCCTTGCGGGGGGCCTGGTTCGTAGCCCTGCTGGGGTTGAGGCTCAAAATAATGCTTGGGTTCGGGCGACCTGGGCACTCCAGAAGGGTAGGCTTGCTGGCTCTCTGGCTTGTACCGCCCTCCATGCACTTCGTAGCCTGCCGGAGTCTGTTCTTCATACCGTAGCTGCGTCATGTTGAAGCTTTTTGGCTCATAGCGGGGCCTGCTGTCATAAGCCATTGGAGGGGGCTCCTCAAAGCGTGGCTGGGAGGCAAAGTAGCCCCGTTCCGTGCCCTCATCCGCATTCTGCCGGGGGTCAAAGTCTCTGGGAGCCTGGTTGTCGTATGGAGGCCTGGGCTGGTAGGGAGGCTTCTCATCGTAATAGGACCAGTGGTCATCATAGGGAGGCACACGTTCCTCGTAGTGGAGGCGAGGGTCGTAGCCGCGTGAGAACTGGTCCACGTAGTTGGTGGAGTCATACCTATAGGCCAGGGGAGGCTCATACTCCCGGTTCGGCTGCTTCTCTACATATGGAGTTTGCGGTTCATAGGCCAAGTTTGGATCTTTCTCCTGCCTTTGCACCGGTTGCTTTAAGACATAGTTTGCCCGAGGGGGCTCCTCGTTGATGTAAGGCTCATTCCTGTACATCTGCAAGAAGACAGATTTTATTGCAGAAGGCTTTAATGGCTGGAATCACTGGGGGGTTGTGCGGTTTTCAGACTGTAGGGCTGTGTTCTAGCAGCATTTTCTCCTGATGTTTCGCCTGCATCCTATGAAGATGCCAGCCACAGATGGATGGGTTGTTTATTTATTTATTTACGACATTTATATGCCACCCTTCTCACCCCAAAGGGGGGACTCAGAGCGGCTTACAAGATATATATAAATACAATATATTAAATCACAAACATAGTACAATATTAATATTATATATTACTATATTGTGCTAAAACATTATACCGTAATATTATTATATGTAATATAAAATATGTAATTATATCATATTATTATTATTAGTAGTAGTAGTAGTCTTATATTGTATTACATTATAATATTATCAATGTTATATGTATATACGAAGGGTATTTTTTAAGTAAGGTCCGTTTTGTTGTAGACACTAGTAGTTCGCGCGCATACCGCAACGAGCACGTGCGTCGTGTACCAGCATGCCTCGGGAACAACTGTGCTCAGTTTCCGCTCTGTAGCTAACCTGCATGGTTCTGTTCCGTGCTTTAAAAATGTTTAAGACTATCAACCCACCCTCCGCATGTGAGGTTCGCTCAGTGATACGGTTTTTGTCAGCAAGGAACCTGCTGCAGAAATCATCATGGACGTTGTCACGGCCATCTTTGAATTGTCGTACCCACTTACGCACTTTACTTTCACTCATAACAGTATCACCGTACACTTCACAAATCTGTCGATGAATTTCTGCAGCAGGCAGGTTCCTTGCTGACAAAAACCGTATCACTGAGCGAACCTCACATGCAGGGTGAGTTGATAGTCTTAAACATTTTTAAAGCACAGAACAGAACCGTACAGGTTAGCTACAGAGCGAAAACTGAGCACAGTTGTTCCCGAGGCATGCCGGTACACGACGCACGCGCTCGTTGCGGTATGCGCGCGAACTACTAGTGTCTACAACAAAACTGACCTTACTTTAAAAATACCCCTCGTACAATATATTACATTACATTACATTACTAGTAAAGCAGAGGAGACAAGATGGAACTGTCTTCTGCCCCCTTTAACCATGTTTCTTTGAGTGGTCACCTGTGAAATCTGCACATCCTCCCCGCTGGACATCATGCCACGGTATCCTGGGATGTTATTTTGCAGCTAAGGAACTGGGTCTACATGCTATCAAGAGGAGAGTGGGCAGTATCTTAGAGCCCAGATGTTTTGACCTACAACTCACAGAAATCCCAGCCAGATTGCCAGCTGTTAGGATTTCTAGGAGTTGAAGGCCAAAACATCTGGGCACCCACAGGTTGAGAAACACTGTTCTCGAGAGTTTCGAAACTGTCTGTGCAGGCACAGGAGACCCTGCGCATTTCACAGGGACCACGAAGAAGAAGCAAGCAAATCATCAGGAGAAAATGTGGATATAACACGCTCATAGGAGTCCAGAAACCACACAACAACCCAGAGAGCATTGTGTTTGAAATGGGGAAAAAAGCAGCTGGGACTAATAAGAAAGAAAACTCTGTAGCACTCAAGCACCTAAATGTTGGAATCACAGTTGTGTATGGATTGTGCCACATGCACAATGGAGGACCTTCTTGCAGCAACACCAGAGGCACTCCAAGTGGCCAGCTAGAGGTCAAAGGACATTTAATAGAATACCAAGTCTGCAAATTTTGTGTTTTGTTTGTTTGTCTGTTTTTTTAATGCAATACAACTGTTTTGGTTCGCTCCTGACACGATAAATAAATAAATAAATGGATTTTATCTGTGATATCCAAACTCTAGTCCTCCAGGTGTTTGGACTTCAGCTCCCAAAAGCCTCCACTGCCTCAACCAAGAATCAGGCCTTATGTGAGCTTCTCTTATATCTTTCAGCCATATTGTTTTATATTGCTTTCAATTGTGTTATTTGTTTTATCTAATGTTTTAATTGCTTAAAGTGTTTTACATGTGTGTTTTAATTGCAATCTTGGGCGTGTCCCTTGTAAGCCGCCCCGAGTCGCCTAGGGCAGATGGTTGGTGGGGTATAAAAATAAAGTTATTATTATATTATTTGCTTTTATTCTCATCAGAAGATTTGGAGTCTATCTGAGGATTTATTCCCACTCTATCAATAAAAGGAAGCATTTCTATTGAAGTCTAAGAACACAGACTGATTTGGAAAATGAGATACATTTCCCCCCTGAAAGATGCATTCAAATAACAAAAGAAAATTTAAATAACATGTATGTCATGAAATACAGGGAAAACTTTGAAACAAAATGAGCCTGCTACATCTCCTGATTTATGAAAGTCGTTTTCCAGAAGATTTCAAAGCAGTCTGCACATGCTCAGGAAGTACCACATGTGTGCATTTCACAGGGACCACGATGGAGAAATGCAATTTGAAATCATGCAAATGTACAAAGCAACAGCCAAATTCCCCTTGCCCCTCCCTCCAAAAATGTTAGCTTTAAAAAAAGAAAAAGAAGCGCTGAAGCACTTTAGATAGTTGGAAAAATGATTGTGGGAAGAGAGAAATCATACGGGAGCCTTTAGTACGGGGCAAAGCAAATATGATCAGGCGAGAGCGTGCCGGGCGCATAGCAGTGACTCCCCGTGCTGCAAAGGTCTCAGCCCCGGCGGAGGTACCTTGGTTGGATCTAAGTGCGGCGATAAGGACGGCTGCTCGGGGTCTCTGAGCATTAAGTGGGGAGCCTCAAGGCTGGGTGTCCTGAGGGGCCCGGCTTGTGGCGGGTAGTGGTTGTAGGTGGGCATGCCAGGCTCCTCCAGCCTGAGGTTGATAGCCGAAGTAGATAAAGCCGGAGGAGGATTTGTTTCCGGCGATGGGGAGAGGTAGGGGAGCCCAGGCGAAGTCTCTGCTTTCTGCAAATGTTTAAAACAGAGGCATTGGATGGACTTTACTGGTTTGTTTTTCCCCCGATAACACTGATGGGGTCCTGGATCATAAAACATATCAAACCACAACTATCCCAGTTATTCAACAAAAGCCAAGGAAGCAGTCCAGACCCTGAACTCGTGCCTGTCAACTGTTGAGGACAAACAAACTGAAATTGAATCCAGGCAAGAAAAAGGTCTTCCTAAAACTTGTGCATACCTTGAGAAGCCAGACTTGGCCATGGTCCCACTTAGACTACTATAATGGGCTGTATGTGGCCCAGTCTGTGTATATGTGTTTTGTGTGTGTATAGGTAAAGGTAAAGGTTCTCCCCTGACATCAAGTCCAGTCATGTCTGACTTTGGGGTGTGGTGCTCATCTCCATTTCTAAGCCGAAGAGCCGGAGTTGTCCATAGACACCTCCAAGGTCATGTGGCCGGCATGACTGCATGGAGCAAGTTACCTTCCTGCCGGAGCGGTACCTATTGATCTACCCACATTTGCATGTTTTCGAACTGCTAGGTTGGCAGAAGCTAGGGCTGACAGTGGAAGCTCAGGCTGCTCCCCGGAATCAAACCTGCAACCTTTCAGTCAACAAGCTCAGTAGCTCAGCTTTTTAACTCACTGCACCACCGGGGGCTCCCTTGTGCGTGTATATATGGGTGTATATATGTGTGTTTGCATATATATATATATATATATATATATATGTGTGTGTGTGTGTGTGTGTGTGGTTTTGCACATGATTTAATGTTGTCTTCACATTGTTGCCTTGTTTTTTACTCATGTTCTATTTTGAAATGGTCATATAAATAAATAAATAAAATAAATAATAATAATAATAATTATTATTATTATTACTATATGTGCATGTATATTTGTGTATTTATGTGTTTATATGTGTACATACATATTGTGTATATGTGTGTGCTTGTCTATATGCATATTTGTGTGCATGTGTGTATATTTGTGTGTGTTTGTGCATATATATATATACATGTGTGTGTATGAATGTGTGCATGTGCTTATGTATGTGTATATGTATATATGGTGTATTTTTGGGGTTTTTAAGTCTGTTCCGCTCAAGTTTTGTGTGTGTGCATGCATGTGTGTGTTTATGGGTGATGGACACTCGTTGTACTGTTAGGTGTATTGTGTCCAGTGGTTTTTGAGTTATGTTAATCCCACAAACGAACATTACATTTTTATTTATATAGATAATAAAGAATAACTGGACTTCTGAATAGTAAAGTACTGGATCTCAGCGACTCTAACACCCATCTCCTCTAAGGTTTCAAGAGAGGGAAAAACACCAATCACTACATCTCTCCTGACACACAACCAGAGAGAGATCTCAAAGCACACAGCACATACTCTCCATACTGAACTGTAAGAAGGTAGAAGTCAGATTCAAAAAGCTTCCAGTTGAAAAGTTGAAAAGAAACAGAGGAGAGAAGAAATTAGATATGTTCCAACTGTCATTCAGGAGACATGGGGGAAGGGAATTTCCTCAGTCTGTCAAAACTAACTAGCTGTTCCTCATTGAGGACTTGAGACTTGGGCAGTATGGGGTTGAATTCCAACAATTTGCACCCCCTCCCTTTTCCTGTCACAGTTGTGATAGCACTGAAACTTTCCAAGAAGATATCCAAGGTGCTGAACTTGGATTCTCTCAAAGGGATTCAGCACCTTGGATAGCTCCTCTGTCACTAATCCAAATTAGTGACAGAGGATACATTCACTGCCCTGCTGACATGGAAGCCAAGAGCCGCCACAGTATCAAGCATTCAAAAGAGGTATCTGTTTGGAGCCTGTCCTAGGAAAACAGAAAAAATATTAATTTTCATACATTTTGGGAAAGTTGGTGGCTTTAGGTCAACCCTTACAAAAAAAAAAGTTTAAGCATTGCTCTTTTTCAGCTTGATTTCTGGTTGAGATAAACAAATATCTCCTGTTACTATAAAGGTGATAACTTCTTTTAGGAAACAGAAAAATTTAGGCAATTGGTAATATTTGACAAATACTGAGAATAGCAAGAGCCCCGGTTGCGCAATGGATTAAACCTTTGTGCCAGCAGGACTGCTGACCAAAAGGTTGGTGGCTCAAATCCGGGGAGCGGGTTGAGCTCCCATCTGTCAGCTCCAGCTTTCCATATGGGGACATGAGAGAAGCCTCCCACAGGATGGTAAAAAATCTGGGCATCCCCTGGCCAATGTCTTTGCAGACGGCCAATTCTCTCACACCAGAAGCAACTTGCAGTTTCTCATGTCGCTCCTGACACACATAAAAAATTAATATAAAAATAATAATTAAGCTAATCACATTTTTAAAAAAATTCTTACCGGCTGAGCAGCGCCCGTCTTGAACCCAGGGGACTCTATCCTGTGATTGGGCTGGCTCTGGGCCTGAGCAGCATACGGAGGATATGTTTGGTTCTCATGGTGCACTCCGGACGAATCTTCTCTCACGGGTTCAGAGGACCGCGTAATGGCCGACTCGGGAGGAGTCCCAACCTCATCGTTGAGGGTCTCATCCAGCTCTTGATCCGTGTAGGCCCCGCCTTCTGTGTCCGTGTCCTCGTAGTCCGAAGTGTGCCTGCTGTCCGTGCTGTACATGGAGTACTCGCTCCCCGGAGCCGACAGGTAGGACAGGCGGTCATCGTGTAGGTCAAGGTCATCGCTGGTAGCACCATCTGCCTGTGTCAAACACATCAGATTCAGGTGTTTATAAGGAGAAAGCCCTGCAATAACAGGGCATCCTTCCACCCAGAAGCTCCATTTAATGAAAGTGATTTCATGTTCCTATAGCTCAGCATGTCCTATAGCTCAGTGGTTCATCACATGCTTTGTAAACATAGAAATCCCATGTTCAAATGCTAGCCTTCCAGCTAGGGATGGAGAAAATGTCACTATAGGTTTTAGTGAGTAAAATGAACCAATGGGGTAAATCATCTTTGTATAACCCACAAGAGTAATTACTCTGTTATTGTTATTATTACATTTATTATTTTACTCTATTTATTATTACTGACACAAAAGCACAGTATGTCACAGCAAATGAGATCTCTATGCTGGATTTCGTATCACAAAATCACAAGTCGAACACTTCCCAAGCGCCTAGGACTGTGTGATGTATTTTCGAATAATGCACGCAGATCCAAGTAAGGTGGTCTTTTGCAGTTGACAGATCGTGATTTTACTCTATTTATTATTATTATTATTATTATTATTATTATTATTATTATTATTACATTTAGATTACTTACTCTATTATTATTTTATTATATTTATTATTTACTCTATTATTATTACATTTATTATTTTACTCTATTTATTATTATTAAAATTACATTATTTTACTCTATTATTATTATTTGTATTATATTTATTTTTTTAATCTTTTATTATTGCTTGTTGCTCATTCGTTCAGTCGTCTCCGACTCTTCGTGACCTCATGGACCAGTCCACGCCAGAGCTCCTTGTCGGCCGTCACCACGCCCAGCTCCTTCAAGGTCAGTCCAGTCACTTCAAGGATGCCATCCATCCATCCTGCCCTTGGTCGGCCCCTCTTCCTTTCTTTTATTATTACGGTACATTTATTATTTTACTCTATTTATTATTACTAGCTGTACCCGCCACATGTTGCTGTGGCCAACCTTCCTCTTTCTCTCCTTTTTTCTTTCTCTCATTCCTTCCCTCTCTCTTATAATATAATAATAATAATAATAATAACAATCTTTATTTATATATCACCCTATCTTTCCTTCCTCCCTTTTGTTCTTTCCTTCTCTCCTTCTTTCCTTTCCCCTCTCCCTTTTCTTTCCCTTCCTCTTTCTCCCCTTTCTTCCTTGTCTACCTATTCTTGGACTGCAGCTCCCAGAAGTCCTCCTGATCAATTTATCTATCTACCTGCCCATCTAATCTATATATCTGGGTGATTGCTGGGAGTTGCAGTCCAGGAATAGGAAACTGGAAATATGCAGGGATTGGGATGCTCTCGGAGAAATCCAAGAAGAAAGCTTGCATCTTGGAAGCAGTCATTTCATAGAATCACAGAATCATTTGAATCATCCTCCTCTCTTAATCCTCTCCATAGGGGATGCTGGGAGCTGTAGTCTGGAAGGGAGTGTGGATATGCTATTTGTATTTTGCTTGTTGGGGGGAGTCATTTTTGCACATGCGCTGTAGCATCTTTTTGCTTTTTTTGCTTTTAAAGTCCCTTCTGCTGTGTTTTTCAGTGTTTTTATGAGTGATGGTCACTTGTTGGCCTGAGAGGTGTATTGTGTCCAAATTTGGTGTCAATTCCCCCAGTGGTTTTTGAGTTATGTTAATCCCACACACCAACATTACATTTTTATGTATATAGATTATTATATTTATTATTTTACTCTATTATTGTTGTTTTTATTACATTTATTATTTTACTCTCTTTATTATTATTGGAAGGAAACGTAAGCACATTTACATTGAAGAAAGTTAGAATAATGGTTTGATCAGAGTTGGCCAGTCCTATCTTAAATTACAGTTTTATGTAAATATTCAAAACATTTAAGCAACTGATGCCTCAATTAATGTCATTTTATTGGTATCTATTTTTATTTTATTTACCCATATCTGCGGCATTTTCCACCCTCTGCTTATACTCAAGTCAATACATTTTCCCAGTTTTTTTGTGGCAAAATTAGGTGCCTCAGCTTATATTCGGATCTGCTTATACTTGAGTATGTATGGTATATAATTTCCAACCACGTAGTGGATGCATCTACTTTAGCTAGGGTCAACAAACTAGATTAATGGGATGGAGACAATCCTGAAGATTTTGTGTTTTGAAAATGGAGAATCAAACAACCACCATATTTCCACCTCCATTAAATCTAGGGGCATTTCCACATTCAACCAATACATATGAGGATCGGCAGCAATTCCTTCCTCCCTTCACTGTAATTCATGAGCGACATATAGGCTGCATGATGTGCCTCTCAACCATTCAAGGTCCTTGAGAGGCACCAGTTAAGGTCTTGTTGACATTCTGACCAAGCAACTCTCTATGGACAAATTCTTACTTCCTGTTCCCAGATTATTGATCAGAGCCAGTCACTTTCCCAATTTTCTCTCCCTGCTTTTTGTTGGCCTACCTCTGCCATAGCCCCCCACCTCTGTTTTCCCTACTCAAGGAACTCTGTTTCAAGAAAGGGAACCTCAGACAGTAATTAATGAGCCATTGTTCTGGGCCCGGCTTCAGCATTTGTAATCTAATTAAAATACATTCTTCACCATTCTTTGCCTCCTTTGCTCAGCAGTAGAAGATGCAAGAATCATCCATCACCTGGGACATAGCACAAAGCTTCTCCACTTGTAAAGCTCACAATTTCAAGAATGCAAAATATTACAAATCTGGAGGTTGGTCAGGTAGGTTCATTGACTTTTTGTCTCTTACCCAGCAGGATCAACACTATTTGAACCCTCACTAGTCAAAACCCCAATGTTGCCACAGTTAAGAGGCATAATCCAATCACTGTTCGCTTTCAAAAGCAGCCTCTGCCAGTATTGCGTCACTATTATTTTGAGCTTTTTAAAAAAATAGTAACACCCAGGATTCACCAACAACAACATTTCATTATGGTCCAAAGACTCTTATTGCTCTGTAAGTGTACAAAACATGCAAGGTTAATAATATTAACAACAGTTGACTGATTTAACACAGAGATGGGTGAAATTAACAACAGTTAAAACTAGTTAAAATACAGGATTAAACTGATTGAAGCCATACAAGATGGCTATGAACATAGGTAAAAGACTACAAAAGGTTCCAGGCATGTTTCAGCCTGTGTCTAAAATAGAGATTGGTCTAATCCTGACTGCCTTGGAAAATAGAGAATTGTCTAATCCTCACTGCCTCAGAAATAAAGAATTATCTAATCCTCAATTCTTAACCTCTCCCTCCAGACTTAAGTTATTCCCACATAAACCTGTCCCATGATTTTAGATGTAATCCAGAAGCAATGCAAAGGAAGACCGTTGTCACCACTAAACTATAATGGAACAAACAAATGCAGAATGGGTTGTTGTAGGTTTTTTTGGGGCTATATGGCCATGTTCTAGAGGCATTTCTCCTGACGTTTCGCCTGCATCTATGGCAAGCATCCTCAGAGGTAGTACCTCACTACCTCTGAGGATGCTTGCCATAGATGCAGGCGAAACGTCAGGAGAAATGACTCTAGAACATGGCCATATAGCCCGAAAAAACCTACAACAACCCAGTGATTCCGGCCATGAAAGCCTTCGACAATACATTAAAATGCAGAATGCAAAGTGAAAAGTTAAGGTTCCATACCTTTCCTTCCGAAACCCACACTAACTGATTCTGCTGTTGTTGAATCGCTTCCTTAAGAGCTCCATACCAGCCGTCGTTCATTGAATTCAAGTTAATTGTGGCTAAGAACAAAAACAAACAAGGCTGATCCAGATATCTTTATGAAATAAAACTACCAGGAGAAACACATTTTTCCAGCCTGTTAACAGATTACAATTTCAAAGCTGCTCTTACTCTTTATATGACTGCTGCATGGTAAACATTGTCAATACGATTGATGCTGTTGGAAATACAATTGTGCTCCTTCTCAAAAACCAGCCATGTAATTTCTATGCTGAAATGGGGAACAGAGTCTACAGTGCTTCCCCACCAACGAATCCTGCTGATGTTAGATTTTATATAACACTAGCTTGAGTACCCATGCTATTTGAGACAGGCATTGTTTGTTTTGGGGTGTTATATCATTTAGTTAATTAGTAATACTATTTATGGAGCCCCCGGTGGCGCAGTGGGTTAAACCGCTGAGCTGCTAAACTTATAGACCGAAAGGTTGCAGATTCAAATCCGGGGAACGGCGTGAGTTTCTGCTGTCAGCCTCAGCTTCTGCCAACCTAGCAGATCGAAAACATGCAAATGTGTGTAGATCAATAGGTACCACTCTGTTGGGAAGGTAACTTTGCTCCATGCAGTCATGCTGGCCACATGACCTTGGAGGTGTCTACGGACAATGCCGGCTCTTCGGCTTAGAAATGGAGATGAGCACCAACACCCAGAGTCGGACACGGCTGGACTTAATGTCAGGGAAAAACCTTTACCTTTACCTAACACTATTTATTAGGAGACAGCCAGAACGTGATTCTCTTTTTTATGAGTGCTCCCATTAGAAAATACATAACGATGTGGGTGAACTACAATTCCCAGAACCATGGGTCAATCCTCCCCAAACCAGGCCTCTATGCTCAGCTGGCCATATTGGGCCTGTGTACCAAGTTTGGTCCAGATCAGTTGTCAGCTGGGTTCAGTGCTCTCTGGATAAAGGTGAACTACAACTCCCATATGCCTAGAGCAGTCACCCCCAAATCCTGCCAGTATTTACAGTTGGCCATGTTGGGTCTGTGTGCCTGCTCAGTTGCTGATCAATTCCTCTCTGTTTGCTGTGTGCCATAGGAAAGGGTAGGAAAGGGTTAAGGGAAAGGCAGTGGGCAGGGTCATACAAATTCCACACAAGGAACCCTGGGATGCCTGCCTGTGGTGGAGGAAACATGTGAAAACTAGAATGAAATTCTCCTGAAATGAAAGCATTCCTTGGATGGTGGGCTGTAGTGTTTGGAGAGGATATTGGCAGCGTTTGGGCGATATGTTCATGGTGCTCACTGTAACCTGCAATGTCAATGGAGGGAGTGCATTTGGAGGCTTTTCCGCATTCAGAACTATAGCCTGTTTGTGGAGGCGGGAGGCTGTCTGTGCAAGTGGACACCTCCGCCACATACACACATACACATTTTTTTCACTTTTATTATGTGTATAGAAAATGAAGAGAAGAACCAAGAATCTAGGAAGGCAAAGATGGGGAAAGTGGCAAAGTACAAGGGATGGCACCCCTGAGGCAGTCAAGACAAGGGCTGAATAGTAGGCATGTGCAACCCATGGTTCTAAATGGTTCTAAAGTACTTACAAAACTAAAGTTCTGGTGGTGAAAACTAGGGGGCGATGGTGCTTTGCTTCTACAGTGTTGCTAAAGTTCTGGTGGTGAAAATTTCAGAACTCTAACAAAACTTTCAAAATTTCATTATAATTTATTATTATTTATTTATTTACAGCTTTTATATTCCGCCCTTCTCACCCCGCAGGGGACTCAGGGCGGATTACAGTGTATACATATATGGCAAACATTCAATGCCAATTTTTGACATACAAACACATATACAGACATACACAGAGGCTATTTAACTTTTTCTGGCCGCCAGGGGAGCTGTCGCTTTCATCGTCCATCTGCGACGCTGATGAAGCACTTCCGCATTCCCTGCATGCTTCCCTGCTGGAATGCTTTGCTGGAGTCTTCTTTATGGCCTCATAAATCAGTTAATTTAGCCTCTCCACACTTTAAGGTGGTACCTTATTTTCCTACTTGACAGATGCAACTGTCTTTCGGGTTGCAAAGGTCGACAACAGGCTACACACAATTGGTTGGAAACCCACTCCAACCCGGCTGGCTTCGAACTCATGACCTTTTGGTCAGAGTGATCTTAATGCAGCTGACACTCAGCCAGCTGCGCCACAATCCCGGTATAAATGACAGTTATTAATTGGTTCTGTCATAAAAATCATCAATAATGAAATAATGATGAAATTTTGAAAGTTTTGTTAGTGCTCTGAAATTTTCACCACCAATATAATCACCATCATCATCATCATCATCATCATCATCATCATCATCATTTTTATTTATACCCCGCCACCATCTCCGCAAAGGAGACTCGGGGCGGCTTACATAAGGATACGCCCATCAATACAGAAAACAGAATATAACATAAAAACACAACAGAAAATCAGAAAATAAAATAACATAAAATACAAAGCCAATGTAAATATACAGCGCAACAGTATTTGGAAGACCGATACCTGCCGTTTCATGCCACACATGCTCATTCCCTGGTCTACTCACCTGTGAAGAGGTGGTGGTTGTTTTTCCGTAGTTTGTGGGCCCTCTCGTACAGTTTCCTTGCGCTTTTCCGTGACTCCGGACATAGCCTCATCCTCATGGTTTTTACGCCCTGCTTTGAGTCAGGGTTCAAGAATACCACGATGGGATACCACTGTGCGTAATTGAGGCGGTCCACTGCGTTTGGAGTGACATCCAGTAGCGCATGTTTGTCCTGAGGAAGAGGTATAATATAGAGAGGAATGAATGAAGACACTGGAAAGGTGAGGCACGATGTACACCATTGATTTTTGTTGTTACTTCACAACTGTATTTTTGCTACTGTTTTGAATTGTAATGTAAATATCTGATATCAAAATGGTGCTTGGTCTGGAGAACAAGCCCTATGAGGAGCAGCTTAAGGAGCTGGGCATGTTTAGCCTGAAGAAGAGAAGGCTGAGAGGAAATATGATAGCCATGTATAAATATGTGAGAGGAAGCCACAGGGAGGAGGGAGCAAGCTTGTTTTCTGCTTCCTTGGAGACTAGGACGCAATGGAACAATGGCTTAAAACTACAAGAGAGGAGATTCCATCTGAACATTAGGAAGAACTTCCTGACTGTGAGAGCCGTTCAGCAGTGGAACTCTCTGCCCCGGAGTGTGGTGGGGGCTCCTTCTTTGGAAGCTTTTAAGCAGAGGCTGGATGGCCATTTGTCAGGGGTGATTTGAATGCAATGTTCCTGCTTCTTGGCAGGGGGTTGGACTGGATGGCCCATGAGGTCTCTTCCAACTCTTTGATTCTATGATTCTATGATTCTATTTACATTATGATTCATAACGGTAGCAAAATAAGACATGTGCAGTGTGCATAGGAATAAAAAAACCTATAGTCCGGCCCTCCAACGATCTGAGGGACAGTAAACTGGCCCCCTGTTTAAAAAGTCTGAGGACCCCTGATAAAAGAGAAAGGACATATTTCAGACTTAACCATCTGTCAGACTTTTAACTTTTACTTTAACTAGACACATTTGAGCTCCCGAAGACAATGCAAGGAGCCAAGGTGTACATTGCTTTTTAGAAAAAGAATTGCTCAGTGAAATTCAGTTCTCTCTTGAAGCGCAATTTGCAAAGTGCTGAGCATTTTTTGCTGAGACAGAGGGCTTTCACTTGCAGGTCTTTACATGCCAAACCACACTTATTTTGCAGGCTTAGCAAGTGGCCCGAAGAGGGCAAGATGGATTTCCTTTTCATTAGCAAAGAGATGTGACAGCTTCAAGATGAACATATTTTTAATGGAGTCCCTTTTTGTTGAGAAGAGCTCACTTCATCAGATTATAAGTTATTCTGTGTGCGAGAGAGAGAGAGAAACTGTGTGTGCACGTGTGTGCACTGGCCATTCCATAAACGGGGGGCATCAACTGAAGTTGGTGTTTTTCTACTCTAGTATTTTTTCTACGTTCTGAATTTACAGAAACATAGAAACACAGAGTTGGAACAGAATACATTAAAATAATTAAAATGAAACCCTTTTGATGTATTGTCGAAGGCTTTCATGGTGGGAATCACTGGGTTGTTGTGTGTTTTCCAGGGTGTCTGGCCATGTTCCAGAAGCATTCTCTCCTGACATTTCGCCTACATCAGCATTTCTCAACCTGGGGGTTGGGACCCCTTTGGGGGTTGCGAAGAGGTGTCAGAGAGGTCACCAAAGTCCATCAGAAAACACAGTATTTTATGTTGGTCATGGGGATTCGGTGTGGGAAGTTTGACCCAATTCTATTGATGGTGGGGTTCAGAATGCTCTTTGATGGTAGCTGAACTATAAATCCCCAGCAACTACTACTTCCAAATGTCAACGTCTATTTTCCCCAAACTCCACCAGTGTTCATATTTGAGCATATTGAGTATTCGTGCCAAGTTTGGTCCAGATCCATCATTGTTTGAGTCCATAGTGCTCTCTGGATGTAGCCGAACTACAACTCCAAAACTCAAGTTCAATGCCCACCAAACCCTTCCAGTATTTTCTGCTGATCATGGTTGTTCTGTGTGGGAAGTTTGGTCCAATTCTATAGTTGGTGGGGTTCAGACTGCTCTTTGATTGGTGAACTATAAATCCTCAGGAACTACTACTCCCAAGTGTCAAGGTTTATTTCCTCCTAATTCCACCAGTGTTCACATTTGAGCATATTGAGTATTCGGGCCAAGTTTGGTCCAGATCCATCATTGTTTGAGCCAGCAGTGCTCTCTGAATGTAAGTGAACTACAACTCCAAAACTCAAGTTCAATGCCCACCAAACCCTTCCAGTATTTTCTGTTGGTCGTGGGAATTCTGTGTGCCAAGATTGGTTCGATTCCATCGCTGGTGGAGTTCAGAGTGCTCTTTGATTGTAGGTGAATCCCAGCAACTACAACTCCCAAATGACAACATCAATAACCCCTCCCCCAACCCTACCAGTATTCAAATTTGGGCGTATCAGGTATTTGTGCCAAATTTGGTCGAATGAACGAAAATAAATCCTGCATTTCAGATATTTACATTATGATTCATAACAGTAGCAAAATTACAGTGATGATGTAGCAACAAAAATAATGTTATGGTTGGGGGTCACCACAACATCAGGAAGTGTATTAAGTGCATTAGAATCTATAAACATTGAAATTGAATTTAAAATCAAAGTTGAAATATATTAGAACATCTAAATACTTATATTGTACTATGTTAATAATATAATATATTGTATGTATATATATCTTGTAAGCCGCTCTGAGTCCCCTTTGGATGAGAAGGGTGGCATATAAATGTCTTAAATAAATAAAATAAAATAATTATTTGAGAACACAGCTAGCCACCTAAAAAGGGACTTCACGATTGCTCCTATCAAGAGGGCAACAACCTATTTTGCATTTCTCACACATTTCTACTGTTTGCAACTACTCTGCTTGTAATCATGTTTGGTCCACTACACAAGGTATTGTTTTTTCATGCTTGTCAGACTAGAAAAGACCCACCACTTAAATGTTCAAAACTTACTCTGTCGATGATCTGTTTTATTGTGTGAAGCCGAATAATGCCCGAACTACGCTGATCTGTCCCAGCATCCCTTGGTTCGCTTTCTGTTAAAAGAAAAAGCAGGTAAGCATCATCCAAAGGAGGTACATGTGCGCGCAAAGCATTCAATAACCCACCTCTGGGATGCCCTTTGGCTTCATTTCCGGTTGTGTAAACAGACTTCAAGCCTATGCAGTGTGAAGTCAAATGGGGCCAAAGAGCAAACATTTGCACTGGCTCTCAGCAGGGCATTAGGAAATCTTTGAAAATCTAGGTAACAGCTAGATTATCAGAGAACAATGCTGACGATCATCTACGTTGATTATTGTGCCATCACCACTTAAGCAGGGCACTTTGAAATGATTGAACAGAAGTCAGTATCTTTGAAACAGCTTTATACCTGAATTGTTCCTGTTCTCTTAAATACACATCATTGTTTTGTTATTCACAACATCTGCCTCACGTGTGCCTCTGTGGGTGAAGTTTCAAAAGCAGAATCCTGCAGTAATCAAGAGCTTAATGGTGGCAGCGTAGATTTTAAAGAACAATCTTTGGTGTTACCTCAGAAACACAAGCCTGAGGGCTAATCCAACACACTCTTGCCTAAGATACCTCAAGTAAGCCAAGGGTTTACTAGTGCTTCTAAGTTGGTGGGTGCCAGAGGGTTTTCAAAAAGGGTTTTTTGGCCAGAAGAAAGTTCCAGCTTTCCTTACAGCTTTTTGGTTTTGGAGTTTGTAGTCATAGAAGCCTCATTGTAATACAAGTGGTGTTCTGCTTTATGGGGATTTTTATTATCGAATAAATCCTTATCCTTTATATTTTGGTGGAACAGCATTGGGATTTTTATTTCCCAAATAAGCCCCCACCCCCCCATCTGTTATATCGCTCCTCATAGGGCTTGTTCTCCAGAGCCTTGATCATTTTAGTCGCCCTCCTCTGGACACTGCATTTCTAAATACATGTTAACTGTACTCTCAACTCGTTTGTGACACAATCAATCAATCAATAAATCAAAGACCTTCCTTTAGAAAGCAATAAGATGTGAAAGTAGTCAATCTGCATGCTTACTTGCAATCTGGTAAATATCCGGTTCTTCTCGGGCCAGCTTTTCTCGCGCAACGTCCGCAATCGGTCCAAAGATTGTCACAGGCCTGAGAAATCCAGCTGGAATTTAAAAGATTGACTAAGTTAAGAAGATGGGTTTGAAAGGCAGCAGATCACAGGAGCTGTCTTCATAGACCTGTCAGCGGCTTATGAAACTGTGAACCACCGCCTCCTCCTGAGAAAATTGTATAGTATCACAAAGGACTACCACCTCACCCGCCTCATAGGAAACCTGCTACAAAACAGGAGCTTTTTTGTTGAGTTCCAGGGCCAGAGAAGCAGATGGCGGAAACAGAAGAACGGCCTGCCTCAGGGGAGCGTGCTTGCTCCATCCATGTTCAACATCTACACAAATGACCAGCCACTGCCAGAAGGGACAGAGAGTTTCATCTATGCTGATGACGTGCCATCACCGCTCAAGCAGGGAGCTTTGAGATGGTTGAACAGAAGCTTTCCGAAGCTCTAGGTGCTCTTACTGCCTATTACAGGGAAAACCAGCTGATCCCTAACCCATCTAAAACACAGACATGTGCCTTTCACCTTAAGAACAGCCAAGCATCCCGAGCTCTGAGGATTACCTGGGAAGGAATCCCACTGGAGCATTGCAGCACACCCAAATACCAGGGAGTCACTCTGGACCGTGCTCTGACCTACAAGAAGCACTGCCTGAATATCAAGCAAAAAGTGGGTGCTAGAAACAATATCATACGAAAGCTGACTGGCACAACCTGGGGATCACAATCAGACACAGTGAAGACATCTGCCCTTGCGCTATGCTACTCTGCTGCTGAGTATGCATGCCCAGTGTGGAACACATCTCACTACATTAAAACAATGGATGTGACTCTTATTGAGACATGCCGCATTATCACAGGATGTCTACACACCACTGGAGAAATTATACTATTTAGCTGATATTGCACCACCTGACATCCATTGAGAAGTAGCAGCCAATGATGAAAGGACCAAAGTAGTGACATCTCAGGCCCATCCTCTGTTGGGATATCAGCCAGCACGCCGACAATCAAGAAATAGTTTTCTAAGATCTACAGAGACACTTGCTGGAACATCTCAGCAAGTGAGAGTCCAAAAGTGGCAGGCTCAAGCCCAGAACCTCAAACAATGGCTGATACCAAACTAGAGACTCCCCCTGGGCACACAGAAGACTGGGTGACTTGGAAGGCGTGAACAGACACCACAAGATGCAGAGCCAACCTTAGGAAATGGGGCTACAAAAAGGAATCCACAACATGCGAGTGTGGAGAAGAGCAAACCACAGACCACCTGCTGCACAATGCAACCTGAGCCCTGCTACATGCACAATGGAGGACCTTCTTGCGGCAACACCAGAGGCACTCCAAGTGGCCAGATACTCGTCAAAGGACATTGAATCAACTACTAAGCTTACAAACTTTGTGTTTTGTCTGTCTGTTTGTTTGGTTCTGTTACAAAGGTATGGTTGCCCCTGACACAATAAATAAAACTGTGGCCCACCTTCTCGAAGGACAACTCTTTCGTATGCGGGGAACTTGGTCTGAACTGGCTGGGCCGAAAGGTCTTCCCGGCTTTTCCGCAAGTTCCTCTTTGAGCTGCGCAGGCCTCGGAAACGCCAGAAGTCTGCACGGTCCCCACCTGCCGTTTTTGGGAGGGTATACTGCACACTCGCCAGCTGCTCGGCTCTGCATGAAACACACAATAAGACAAAAATATACTGGAAATGAACTTTGACATTGAGGAAGACTGCAGGCTGGTTTGGTTATTTGGTCTCACCTGCAGGCCCTCCCTGAGAACAATTCTTCCAGATCAGATCATCTTCCAGATCAGATCATTTCCAGGAAAGAACAATGGGAATTGGGCTTTGGAGACCATCTTATTTATTTATTCATTCATTCATTCATTCATGACATTTATATGCTGCCCTTCTCACCCCGAAGGGGACTCAGAGCGGCTTACAATATATATATACATACAATATATTATATTATTAACATAGTATAATATCAGTATTATATATTACTATATTGTCCTACATCATGATATTGTAATATTATTCATAGTATTACATGTAATATAAAATATATAATTATAATAACATATTATTAGTAGTATTATATTGTATTACATTACAATATTATAAATATTATATGTATATATAATCTATATAAATAAAATGTAATGTTCGTTTGTGGGATTAACAGAACTCAAAAACCACTGGACGAATTGACACCAAATTTGGACACAAGACACCTACCAACCCAATGTATGTCCTTCACTCAAAAAATTGATTTTGTCATTTGGAAGTTGTAGTTGCTGGGATTTATAGTTCACATACAATCAAAGAGCATTCTGAACCCCTCCAACGATGGAATTGTACCAAACTTGGCACACAGTTCTCCCATGATCAACAGAAAATACTGGAAGGGTTTGGTGGGCAGTGTCCTTTGGTTTTGGAGTTGTAGTTCACCTACATCCAGAGATCACTGTGGACTCAAACAATGATGGATCTGGACCAAACTTTACACGAAAACTCAATATGCCCAAATGTGAACACTGGTGGAGTTTGGGGAAAATAGATTCTTGAAATTTGTAGTTGCTGGGATTTATAGTTCACCTGTACTCACAGAGAATTCTGAACTCCACCAACGATAGAATTGGGCCAAACCTCCTACACAGAACCCCCATGTGGGCCACAGCAACGCGTGGCTGGGGACGGCTAGTATATTATATTATATTATATTATATTACATTACATTATATTATTATTCTTCACCCTGCTGTTCTGCTTCAGCTACAATTAATCATTATTATTCAGTTACATAGTGTCATTAAATATAAATGACGCTCTACAATACCAGTAAAAATAGGTTACTCCAAAAGCGTACCATCTGAAATATATATCTGTTGACATATATACACACACAGGGAAGAAGAAACAACAAATCACAGAACTGTCTAGAACTGCAAAGCAAAACATCCAGATCAAACACACACAAAACAACAGCAAAACACCATACAATATAATACAAAGCAAGCTGACAATGCAGGTAATCAAAATATACATGACTACATAATAGCATTAAAAAAAACCCAAAGCTTTGGAAAATAATAATAATAAAGTTTCCAGTGCTATGTTTTCATGATCACAGCAAAAACAAATTCTTGCATTTTAAAAAAGGTGCTCTGAAACAAAGTTCTAGGTGCTCAAGATTTCTCGAAAGACATGCTCCAAACCATGGGAGGAATTGTGCATCCTTCTAGCTCAGCATTTCTCAACCTGGGGGTCGGGACCCCTGTGGAGGTCGCGAGGGGGTGTCAGAGGGGTCGCCAAAGACCATCAGAAAACACAGAATTTTCTGTTGGTCATGGGGGTTCTGTGTGGGAAGTTTGGCCCAATTCTATAGTTGGTGGGATTCAGAATGCTCTTTGATTATAGGCGAACTATAAATCCCCAGCAACTACTACTCCCAAGTGTCAAGGTCTATTTTCCCCTAATTCCACCAGTGTTCACATTTGAGCATATTGAGTATACGGGCCAAGTTTGGTCCAGATCCATCATTTTTTGAGTCCATAGTGCTCTATGGATATAGGTGAACTACAACTCCAAAACTCAAGGTCAATGCCCACCAAACCCTTCCAGTATTTTCTGTTGGTCATGGGAATTCTGTGTGCCAAGATTGGTTCGATTCCATCGCTGGTGGAGTTCAGAATGCTCTTTGATTGTAGGTGAATCCCAGCAACTACAACTCACAAATGACAAATTCAATACCCCCCCCCCCCAACCCTACCAGTATTCAAATTTGGTCGTATCAGGTATTTGTGAATGAAAATACATCCTACATTTCAGATATTTACATTATGATTCATAACAGCAGCAAAATTACAGTAATGATGTAGCAACGACAATAATGTTGGGGGTCACCACGACATCAGGAAGTGTATTAAGGGGTCACGGCATTAGAAGTTTGAGAACCACTGTTCTAGCTGTTATTGGACTGCAAATCCCAGTAATCCTCAACATTAGTTTTCCCTCTACACCTGGGAGCTGTAGTTCAACAAAATGTTTAAAATAGATTTTTACTAAGTCCCAGTTTGTACGCTTCTTTGGAATTCCTTCGTTCGGCGATAACCAATAAGTTATTCGTCCATATTCATTATTTCCAATATTTTATTTTGCCAGTCTTTTCTTTGAGTATTTCCTTTTGTCTCCAAGTCTTAGCATACACAATTCGGGCTGCGGTGGATAGGTAATTAAAGATTATATCCATTTTTTTCTCCTTCAAAATCAAGCATTCCGAGCAGAAAGAACTTCCAATGAAATACCTGTTTTTGTTGGGAATAATGCCTCTTTCCACCTCTTTGTGGTTCTTGCCAATCCGAATAGCCAGCCAGGATCCCAGCTTGCCATTGTATAATGTGTCCACCACTCGGAACACCTCTCCTTTGTTGAAGCTCAGGCCATAGGGAGATTCCTTCTCATATTCAAAATGGGTCCGAATATAGAAAGAGTCCCCTACGTCTGACTCAACAATGCGCCGATAAACTGCAAGGAAGGAAAACAAACATTGACTGATGGCATCCAGAAGCAATTACAGAATAAGAAAGAAAAAAAATGCTTTGAGAGGAAGAAGTAATTTTTCAATCCCTAGATTATTTTATACCTGAAAATGCCACAAGACACAATTCATAACATTTTGATGCTGGCAAAACAAAGCTAGACTGACTGACTGGCTTGCATTTGATCCAGAACATTTCCTACGGTTCCAAATACACTCCCGTGGATCAACTGAATCACTGAAAGGAATCACTGATTAGGAAAGCCCCCACCCTAGAAACCATTATTATTATTATTATTATTATTATTATACTTTATTTATACCCCGCTAACATCTCCCGAAGGACTCGATGCGGCTTACAATGCCCAAGCACACAACAAAAACAACAGCATACAAATACAACAATAAACTCATAAAGCAAATAATAAAACATAAGCAAAACAATAAACCACTAAAAACAATGACACCATGACGCATTTAAAACCTTTAAAAAGAACCTTAAAACCTGGCTCTTCTGCTGTGCCTTTGGTGAGTAGGTATACAGCCTCACACTATTGCTTAGCCTCAACATTTTGTCATTGGAGTCTACGTCCCCCCTCCCCTTGTGGGAAAGTCTGATCCCACAACTGGAATGAGCCCCCCTCTGCAAATAACCTGCTCCTGTATCTCACCCGAGTTTTTTAATAGCTTTTAATTAGCTTTTCCTTTAAACTATTACATGTAGCCGGCCCATTGTCACTGTGATTGTGTTTATTGTAATTTTATATCGCTATGCATTTATATGTTTTATGAAATTATGATGATGTTGTTTATTGTTTGCATTTTCAGTTTTATTCTGTTGTAATTTGTTGTTTGGGCTTGGCCTCATGTAAGCCGCCCCAAGTCCCCATCAGGGAGATGGTGGCGGGGTATAAATAAAGATGATGATGATTATGATTATGATTATTATTTGTCAGCAACTTATGATACTGTGAACCACCGCTTCCTCCTGAGAAAAATGTATAATATCACAAAGGACTACCACCTCACCCGCCTCATAGGAAACCTGCTACAAAACAGGAGCTTTTTTGTTGATTCCAGGGCCAGAGAAGCAGATGGCGGAAACAGAAGAACGGCCTGCCTCAGGGGAACGTGCTTGCTCCATCAATGTTCAACATTTACACAAATGACCAGCCACTGCCAGAAGGGACAGAGAGCTTCATCTATGCTGATGATCGTGCCATTACTGCTCAAGCAGGGAGCTTTGAGATGGTAGAACAGAAGCTCTCCGAAGCTCTAGGTGCTCTTATTGCCTATTACAGGGAAAACCAGCTGATCCCTAATCCATCTAAAACACAGACATGCGCCTTTCACCATAACAACAGGAGTTGGTGTGGCGAGTTGTAGGCAAAAACATCCAGAGTTAAATGACCCACAATTTTAATGTAATATTATGTGTATATTGCCTACTACAGGGAAAACCAGCTGATCCCCATCCCATCCATCTAAAACACAGACATGTGCTGTGCTTTTCATCTCAAGAACAGACAAGCATCCCGAGCTCTGAAGATCACCTGGGAAGGAATCCCACTGGAGCATTGCAGCGCACCCAAATACCTGGGAGTCACTCTGGAACGTGCTCTTACCTACAAGAAGCACTGCCTGAACATCAAGCAAAAAGTGGGTGCTAGAAACAATATCATACGAAAGCTGACTGGCACAACCTGGGGATCACAACCAGATACAGTGAAGACATCTGCCCTTGCGCTGTGCTACTCTGCTGCTGAGTATGCATGCCCAGTGTGGAAGACATCTCACCACACTACAACAGTGGATGTGGCTCTTAATGAGACATGCCGCATTATCACGGGGTGTCTGCGCCCTACACCACTGGAGAAATTACACTGCTTAGCCGGTATTGCACCACCTGACATCCGCTGGGAAGTAGCAGCCAATAGTGAAAGGAACAAGGCAGAGACATCTCCAGCTCATCCCCTGTTTGGGTATCAGCAGCACGTCAATGACTTAAATCTAGAAATAGTTTTCTAAGATCTACAGAGACACTCGCTGGAACACCTCAGCAAGCGAGAGTCCAAAAGTGGCAGGCTCAAACCCAGAACCTCAACCAATGGCTGATACCAAATGAGAGAATCCCCCCTGGGCACACAGAGGACTGGGCGACTTGGAAGGCGCTGAACAGACTGCTCTGGCACCACGAGATGCAGAGCCAACCTTAAGAAATGGGGCCACAAAGTGGAAGCCACGACATGCGAGTGTGGAGGAGAACAAACTACAGACCATCTGCTGCAATGCAACCTGAGCCCTGTCAGATGCACAATGGAGGACCTTCTTGCAACAACACCAGAAGCACTCCAAGTGGCCAGATACTGGTCAAAGGACATTTAATCAACTACCAAACTCACAAATTTTGTATTTTGTCTGTTTTGTTTGCTTTGTTCTGTTAGAAATGTAATATAATTTGACTGGTTGTCCTGACACGACAAATAAATATTGTTGAGCTTGGCCTCATGTAAGCCGCCCCGAATCCCTTTGGGGAGATGGTGGCGGGGTATAAATAAAGATGATGATGATGATGATTATTATTATTATTATCATCATCATCATTCTTGTCCTTGCATGAAAGGAACTTTGCTTACCGTCTTTCTTCTTCTGTGCCAAAATGGTGACCTCTTCCCCTTTGGGGAGGTCAAGCAGAAACAGGACTGCTTCCTCCCGGATGATATTTGTGAAGTCAACATTATTTACCTGATGAACAACAACAACAACAACAAGGTTACGACATCACAAACCTGTTTTAAGAACCTCAGTACACACCCGTTGATTAGCACTGCCATGTGAATATCACTTTACGGTGTTTGTCACAAATTATCAAAATATGAATATTACAATATATTTTAAAATAAAAATCGTAGTTTTACCCTGAGAATCTGGTCCCCTTCTTCCAAGCCTTCTTTGGCAGCAGGGCTGTCCTCCAAGACACCGGCGACAAAAATCCCCACATCGTTGCCCCCAGCCAGCCGCAAGCCCACGCTGTCTCCTTTTTTGAATTTGACAAGCTTCATGCTTGGCCTGCAAAGGTGAGGAATCAGTGGTTTTTTAAAAAACCCAACTTATAAGTTCTGTTGATGAATTGACAGAATCATAGAATCATAAAATCATAGAATCCTAGAGTTGGAAGAGACCTCATGGGCCATCCAGTCCAACCCCATTCTGCCAAGAAGCAGGAATATTGCATTCAAATCACCCCTGACAGATGGCCATCCAGCCTCTGTTTAAAAGCTTCCAAAGAAGGAGCCTCCACCACACTCCAGGGCAGAGAGTTCCACTGCTGAATGGCTCTCACAGTCAGGAAGTTCTTCCTCATGTTCAGATGGAATCTCCTTTCTTGTAGTTTGAAGCCATTGTTCCGCGTCCTAATCTCCAAGGAAGCAGAAAACAAGCTTGCTCCCTCCTCCCTGTGGCTTCCTCTCACGTATTTATACATGGCCCTCATCATGTCTCCTCTCAGCCTTCTCTTCTTCAGGCTAAACATGCCCAGCTCCTTAAGCCGCTCCTCATAGGGCTTGTTCTCCAGACCCTTGATCATTTTAGTCGCCCTCCTCTGGACACATTCCAGCTTGTCAATATCTTCTTGAATTGTGGTGCCCAGAATTGGACACAATATTCCAGGTGTGGTCTAACCAAAGCAGAATAGAGGGGTAGCATGACTTCCCTAGATCTAGACACTATGCTCCTATTGATGCAGGCCAAAATCCCATTGGCTTTTTTTTTGCCACCACATCACATTGTTGGCTCATGTTTAACTTGTTGTCCACGAGGACTCCAAGAGCCAACCTCTGTTTCAAAGCTTCCAAAGAAGGAGCCTCCACCACACTCCGGGACAGAGAGTTCCACTGCTGAACGGCTCTCACAGTCGGGAAGTTCTTCCTAATGTTCAGATGGAATCTTCTTTGCTTGACGAAATTTCTGGCTGCAAAGCTACAAATCAATATTGGGCTCACTACACACTATAGCAGTGGTTCCCCAACCTTTTTTTTTAACCAGGGACCACTCCCCAACATTAGGGTTACAAATGGTTTTTTGGTCAACTTTAGATTTGGTTTGGTGATTTGGAGTGCTGATTCGAAAAATTGCATTGGATAGACCACATCAGCTCTCGTTTCTGATACAGAACATATGCTATCCAGTAGACACTATCTGCTTGTCCACAGTAAACCATATTTAATAATCTAGAGCTGATGTGATCTATACAATGTGATTTTCGAAATCAGCAACCCCAGGAACACCAGGAACAGGCCTAAAAATGAAGACACCAAGAAAAAACATTTTTTTTTATTTGGGCTGTGTTATTATCCTTGGATTTTGTTAATGCTTGTGTTAAAAAAAAAAAAGAAAGAAGAAGGGGAGGGGTCAGGTTAAAAAAAAATCCAAAATTGGGAACCTAGTGCTAAGAATGTGCTAAGATGTGGAGTGGAAAAATTAAGACTGAGATTGATATTTCAAATGTAGTTTGCCATTTAAATTGTATGTCCAAGGAGGGGTGGGAGAGGGATAAAAGAAAAAGACAACATTAAAAAATACAAAAAGCGGAGTGCAAGACCCAAGAAATTGTCCCTAACAGCTTTAATAATAGTAACAATAATTATCTTGGGGGACTAAACAGGGTCTTACAAAGGGCTGCTTTCCCATTGCAATGGGAGCTATTATTATTATTATTATTATTATTATTATTATTATTATTATTGGGATTCACACTAGCCTCAAACATTCACAGTTGCCTCAAACAAACAAGAGTTCTTTCTCCCACCCTGGACAGATATATAAACCCCACTTGCCTAGTTTCCAACAAACCTCTCAACCTATGAGGATGCCTGTCATAGATGGGGGAGAAACGTCAGGAGAGAATGCTTCTGGAACATGGCCAGACAGCCCAAAAAGGGATTCTGCTTTATATATATATTTACAAAGTCCTTGTTTTGCTAAAAAAAACTCCACCAAACAGCTTATCAAAGGGTTGTTGTAGGTTTTTTCAGGCTATATGGCCATGGTCTAGAGGCATTCTCTCTTGACGTTTCGCCAGCTTATCAAAGGTCCACGCCCAGTGTTTATTTAAAAAAAATTAATTTATTACATCTGGCCCGGCCATAAGGTTTTAAATTCTCTGTGTTATTGTTTATATGTAAGTTATATTAATTATACTGTTTTATTTGCTTGCTGTTTTGTTTTTACTGATGTGTTGTTGGGCTTGGTCTCATGTAAGCCACCTTGAGTCCCCTTGGGGAGATGGTGGTGGGGTATAAATAAAGATTATTATTATTATCGCTGGAATGTAGATATCGAGGGGTATAACCTCTTTCACAGAAACCGAACAAAGGGGAGAGGAGGTGGAGTAGCCTTATATGTCAAAAACTCTTATGCTGCAGAAGAGATTCAAGACAGCAATCTGGGAAACCAGCTCGAAATCATCTGGATAAGAATCAAGGGAACTGGGACTCAAAAAGATGTCGTTGTAGGCGTCTACTACAGACCCCCAAGCCAGGAGGAAGAACTTGATGAAGTCTTCTGCCAACAGTTGACCAAACAGGCACAGAGAAGAGATGTAGTAGTCATGGGCGATTTCAACTATCCCGATATTTGCTGGAAAACAAACTCGGACAAGAGTACAAGGTCCAACAAATTCCTCGCTTGCCTTGCAGACAATTTCATGGTCCAGAAGGTAGAAGAGGCAACAAGGGGATTGGCTACTCTTGATCTCATCCTAACAAATGCGGAGGACCTGATCGATGCGGTCGAAGTGGTAGGATCCTTAGGGGCAAGTGACCATGTGCTCCTGCAATTTGAGGTACAAAGGAAGGCCGAAACTAAGACAAGTCAAACCCGCATTTTGGACTTTAGGAGAGCTGATTTCCAAAAAATGAAGGAAACACTGAGCAGCATTCCATGGACACAGATACTAAAAGACAAGGGAGTTACGGATGGATGGGAATTTCTCAAGAGTGAAATACTCAAGACGCAATTGCAAACCGTGCCAACAAAGAGAAAAAATAGGACAAGTGCAAAGAAGCCAGAATGGATGTCCAAAGAACTTCTAACTGTGCTAAGACACAAAGAGACATGCACAAGAAGTGGAAAAAGGGAGAAATCACCAAAGAAGAATTCAAACAAATAGCCAACACCTGTAGGGAAAAGGTCCGCAAGGCTAAAGCAAAAAACGAGCTCAGACTTGCCAGGGACATTAAAAACAATAAAAAGGGCTTCTATTCTTATGTCAGTAGAAAAAGGAAAAACAAGGAGGCGATAGGACCTCTTCGAGGAGAAGATGGGGCAATGCTGACAGGGGATAGGGAAAAGGCAGAACTACTAATGCCTTCTTTGCCTCGGTCTTCTCACAAAAAGAGAGTCTTCAACCTCAGCAAGATGGAGTGGATGAGGGATTGGAGGACATCCAACCCCAAATTGGGAAAGAAGTCGTCCAGGAATACCTGGCCGCTCTTAATGAGTTCAAGTCCCCAGGGCCAGATCAACTACACCCCAGAGTATTGAAGGAACTAGCGGAAGTCATTTCGGAACCATTGACAACCATCTTTGAGAGTTCTTGGAGAACGGGAGAAGTTCCAGCAGATTGGAGGAGGGCCAATGTGGTCCCAATCTTCAAGAAGGGAAAAAAGATGACCCAAACAACTACCGTCCGGTCAGCCTCACGTCGATACCGGGCAAGATTCTGGAAAAGATTGTTAAGGAAGCGGTCTGCAAACACTTAGAAACAAATGCAGTCATCGCTAATAGTCAACATGGATTTATCAAAAACAAGTCATGCCAGACTAATCTGATCTCTTTTTTCGATAGAGTTACAAGCGGGGTAGATGCGGGGAATGCCGTGGATGTAGCGTACCTGGATTTCAGTAAGGCCTTCGACAAGGTCCCCCATGACCTTCTGGCAAGGAAACTAGTCCAATGTGGGCTAGGCAAAACTACGGTGAGGTGGATCTGTAATTGGTTAAGTGGACGAACACAGAGAGTGCTCACTAATGCTTCCTCTTCATCTTGGAAAGAAGTGACAAGTGGAGTGCCTAGGGTTCCGTCCTGGGCCCGGTCCTGTTCAACATCTTTATTAACGACTTAGATGAAGGGCTAGAAGGCATGATCTTCAAGTTTGCAGACGACACCAAATTGGGAGGGATAGCCAATAGTCCAGAGGACAGGAGCAGAATTCAAAAGATCTTGACAGATTAGAGAGATGGGCCAAAACTAACAAAATGAAGTTCAACAGTGACAAATGCAAGATACTCCACTTTGGCAGAAAAAAGGAAATGCAAAGATACAGAATGGGGGACGCCTGGCTCGAGAGCAGTACGTGTGAAAAAGATCTTGGAGTCCTCGTGGACAACAAGTTAAACATGAGCCAACAATGTGATGTGGCGGCAAAAAAAAAGCCAATGGGATTTTGGCCTGCATCAATAGGAGCATAGTGTCTAGATCTAGGGAAGTAATGCTACCCCTCTATTCTGCTTTGGTTAGACCACACCTGGAATATGTGTCCAATTCTGGGCACCACAATTGAAGGGAGATGTTGACAAAGCTGGAATGTGTCCAGAGGAGGAGACTAAAATGATCAAGGGTACTGGAGAACAGCCCTATGAGGAGCGGCTTAAAGAGCTGCATTCTTAGCCTGAAGAAGAGAAGGCTGACAGGAGATATGATAGCATGTATAAATATGTGAGAGGAAGCCACAGGGAGGAGGGAGCAAGCTTGTTTTCTGCTTCCTTGGAGACTAGGACGCGGAACAATGGCTTCAAACTACAAGAGAGGAGATTCCATCCGAACATTAGGAAGAACTTCCTGACTGTGAGAGCCGTTCAGCAGTGGAACTCTCTGCCCCGGAGTGTGGTGGAGGCTCCTTCTTTGGAAGCTTTTAAGCAGAGGCTGGATGGCCATCTGTCAGGGGTGATTTGAATGCAATATTCCTGCTTCTTGGCAGGGGGTTGGACTGGATGGCCCATGAGGTCTCTTCCAACTCTTTGATTCTATGATTCTATTATTATTATTATTATTATTATTATTATTATTATTATTATTATTATTATGTCAATTTTACTGGGAGACTGTGTGTGTGGTCTGTAGCAATTTCTGGGGGAAGAACATGGGATGCTCAAAGCTTCTCTACCCCAGCAACACTTTACGATAGTGGAAATAGTAATTTCTGAACCGTTTCCCTATGCAAATCTGCCTGCTAAAGAGTTGAGGCCTTGGACTGGCATAAGCAAAAGATCCATTACCGAAGCATTCCGTCTTCATGTGTTGAATTTGGCAAAGGGCCGTCGGATGGACTGACAGGCAAATCCACATCTGGCTGCCCGGCCTGAGCATAAACTGGCTTTGGTTCTGTTTGGAAAACACAAAAGAGAATTGGAATAACACACTGGAACTGGACATAAACACAGCACAGCCTAGCTAACTCCTGCAAGACATTCAGCAAGATCTATTTTCAGGAGAAACTGAAGCATCCAATATCGCATGCCACACTTTTGAAACATTGAGCCATAAGAAAAAATATCTCAAGCTGCAGCAGTTGTATTGGAAGTGGGGCAACATGGAGTCCAGTAACTAGTTGTAGGTTCTGGTAATAAGACTTTTTTTTTTGTACTGGAAATCCTTTATGTTTACAAGTAGATAAGGAAATATTATTAACAGAAGTACGATAGATGGTGAGTTATAAATGCAAAACTATAATATTACAATATAATGGTATAGTACAATATAGTAATATATAATACTGATATTGTACTATGCTAATAATATAATATATTGTATGTATGTGTGTGTGTGTGTGTGTGTGTGTGTGTGTGTGTGTGTGTGTGTGTATATATATATATATCTTGTGAGCTGCTCTGAGTCCCCTTCAGGGTGAGAAGGGCAGCATATAAATGTCGTAAATCTATTATAATAAAAGTGAATGTTTGTATGTGGAGGCAGGGAAGACGGATGTAGGGAGGTGTATGTGGCAGCTTTCTGATTGGCTCTCACTTTCACAAGCCACTGCGACCCGCACGAATGACAGACCTGGACCAAACTTGGCACACATAACCCCCATGATCCACTTTACATCTTGGTGCAGAGGAAGGACCATGGATGATGGGATTTGCACTACTTTTAAATGCTACAGTTCCCACAGACCACTGTGGGCCCCAACAAAGACTGATAAAGACCCAACTTGGCACACAGAGAACCCTTGACCCATTAAACATCCTGCTGCAGGGCACTCCATGGATGATGGGACTTGAAGTACCTCCACTTACTTCCTGAGACCACTGCAACACTCATCCAATGACTGATCAAGACCAAACATGGCACACAGAGCCCCCATGACCCTCTCTACATCCTGGTGCTGTTTGGAGGAGAGTGAACCATAGACGATGGGACTCACAGTACCTTCACTCACTTCCCGAGACCACTGCAAGCCACATAAATAACTGATAAAGACCAACCAATGCCTTTCTCAAATAACCCAAGATAGTAAATAAATAAATAAATAAATATTAGAGTTTGAGGAGGTAGGTGGCCAGATAAGAATGGATTGCTTACAGCAACCCAAGGATGTTGTTGCTTAATCTTGTGATTAAAACATTTGAGATTAATACATCTGGGTTTCTTAAAACTAGATGCAGCCTGAATACTGACCTGGAAGAGGTGGGGTCTGCTTCTCGTTTCTCTCCATAACAGATTCTTCTACGGTTTTGGAGAGGGGGGTCTCTTCTGCATTCTTCACAGGAGTAGAGGCTGCTCCTGGCTTTGCTATTCTTTCGTCATCTCTGCTCCGGAGGCTAAATCAAGAGAAGCAAACATCTAATTTTAAAAGCTGCAGGAACAATTCTATCAAGGAGAGATCTACTCGTGTCCTGCGCCTTTTCCCTGGCAAATGACTTTAAAAAACACCCCACAAAGCATGTTTCATTTACACATGCTACCTCCATTTCCTACGGCTAGATGGCACCATTGCTTCAATAACTGTCAAGGCATGGTGCCCAACACATCTACTTGATTTTTTTTCCATGTAAGAAGCCGCTCGAGAAACTCCAGCAAGTCGATTTTGGTGTGAGAGGGTTTGCCGTCTGCAAGAACGCTGCCCAGGGGATGCCCAGATGTTTTACCATCCTGTGTGAGGCTTCTCTCTCATGTCCCCGCATAGAATCATAGAATCAAAGAGTTGGAAGAGACCTCATGGGCCATCCAGTCCAACCCCTTTCTGCCAAGAAGCAGGAATATTGCATTCAAACCACCCCTGACAGATGGCAATCCAGCCTCTGTTTAAAAGCTTCCAAAGAAGGAGCCTCCACCACATGGAGGCATGGGAAGCTGGAGCTGATAGATGGGAGCTCACCCCAATCTCCGGGTTCGAACCGCCGCAGTTCAGCAGGCACAAGGGTTTAACAAGAAGAACTGCCTGAATATCAAGCAAAAGGTGGGTGCTAAAAAGCTGACTGGCACAACCTGGGGATCACAACCAGACATAGTGAAGACATCTGCCCTTGCGCTATGCTATTCTGTTGCTGAGTACGCATGCCCAGTGTGGAACACTTCTCACCATGCTAAAACAGTAGATGTGGCTCTTAATGAGACATGTCGCATTATCACGGGGTGTCTGCGCCCTACACCATCCCACCAAACCCTTCCAGTATTATATTCTTTGGTCCTTTGGTTTTGGAGTTGTAGTTCACCTACATCCAGAGATCACTGTGGACTCAAACAATGATGGATCTGGACCAAACTTGCATGAATATTCCATATGCCCAAATAGGAACACAGATGGAGTTTGGGGGAAATAGACCTTGACATTTGGGAGTTGTAGTTGCTGGGATTTATAGTTCACCTACAATCAAAGAGCATTCTGAATCCCAACAACAACAAAAATGGGCCAAACCTCCCACATAGAACCCCCATGTGGGCCGCAGCAATTCGTGGCAGGGGGTGGCTAGTCTATATAAATAAAAATGTAATGTTCGTTTATGGGATGAACATAACTCAAAAACCAAAAAAGATACTATAGCGCAAGAGGAAAAATGACTCCCTTTGGCAAACAAACACACAATAGCATATCCACACTCCCTTACGGACTACAGCTCCCAGAATCCCCTAGACCAGGCCCTTTAGGAGAGGAGGGTGATCCAAATGAACTGCTTTCAAGATCAAGCTTTCTTCTCCTTGAGAGCATCCCAATCCCTGCATATTTCCAATTTCCTATTCTTGGTCTGGAACTCCCAGCAATCTTCCGGATAGATAGATTAGATAGAGATAGATAGTAGGTAGACAGATCAATCAGGACTGTTGAGAGTTGCAGTCCAAGAATAGGTAGAGAAGGAAGAACGGGGAGAAAGAGGAAGGGAAAGAAAAGGGGGGAAGGAAGGGAAGAGGAAGAGAAGGAACGAAGGAGAGACGGAAAGAAAAACGGGAAGGAGGGAGAGAAAGAAGGAGAGAAAGAGGGAGGGAAGGTTGGTCACAGAAGCGCGTAGTGGGTACAGCTAGAAATATAATATAACATAATGTATTATAATATATTGTATATGCATATAATATTTATAATATTATAATGTAATACAAGATAATACATGTAATATTACTAACAATATTACAATATAATGGTATAATACAATATGTTGTTGTTCATTCGTTCCGTCGTCTCCAACTCTTCGTGACCTCATGGACCAGCCCACGCCAGAGCTCCCTGTCGGCCGTCACCACCCCCAGCTCCTTCAAGGTCAGTCCAGTCACTTCAAGGATGCCATCCATCCATCTTGCCCTTGGTCGGCCCCTCTTCCTTTTGCCTTCCACTTTCCCCAGCATAATTGTCTTCTCTAGGCTTTGCTGTCTCCTCATGAAGTGGCCAAAGTACTTCAACTTTGTCTCTAGTATCCTTCCCTCCAGTGAGCAGTCGGGCTTTATTTCCTGGAGGATGGACTGGTTGGATCTTCTCGCAGTCCAAGGCACTCTCAGAACTTTCCTCCAACACCACAGCTCAAAAGCATCGATCTTCCTTCGCTCAGCCTTCCCTAAGGTCCAGCTCTCACCTCCGTAGGTGACTACAGGGAATACCATGGCTTTGACTAGGCGGATCTTTGTTGCCAGTCTGATGTCTCTACTCTTTACTATTTTCTCGAGACTGGACATTGCTATATATAATACTAATATTGTATCATGCTAATAATATAATGTATTGTATGTGTGTGTTTGTGTGTGTGTGTGTATCTTGTAAGCTGCTCTGAGTCCCCTTCGGGGTGAGAAGGGCAGCATATAAATGTCATAAATTAAATGAATAAATAAATAAATAAACCTAGTGCCAACCCACAGAGATGTCCCCTGCAGGCACTGCCCAAGTCTTCCAGAGTTTGACATGGTCCTGCTGGAGAAATGAATATACACAACTACTGCTGTACCTAAAACCTCAATGGGCCTGACATTCAGAAATCATCTTCTGCCTCCAATTCCCACGATGGAGCTATCCAAGGTCAATAACACAGACATCTCCTTCTCAGTCACAACACTGGCCGCCTAAGCTCTGTGTTGCCTATTCTGGTGAGCTTCTCCAAGGTCTTTCTATGTCAACATTTCTGCCTTCTGAGGTGGAAAAATGGAAATTCAAGTCTGTGACCTTTCTCCATGCACAGCATCTCACTCTACCATTGAGCTACGACTCTTTTTTATATCAGAACTTTAAATCCTCATGATTATTCTTATTAATCGGCGCTGACAAATTACCACCTGATAATTTGGGATACTGGGATCTGCACGCATCTTACTGGGATCTGCACGCATTATTCGCCGATACATCACACAGTCCTAGACACTTGGGAAAGGTTGGGAAAGGTCCAACGTGTGATCCAATACAACAGCCAGCAGAGTGTCTGCTGTGGACTCATCTTGTGATGTTTCAAATATTAATATTAATAATAATAATGAGGATTTAAAGATCAAACTGCAAAGACTCTGGCACAAGCTAGTCAAGGTGGTCTCAGTGGTGCAGCACCTAAAGACCTTGGCCTGCACTTAAACACAATTGGCTCTGACAAGATTACCATTTGCCCGCTGCAAAAGGCCACCTTACTGGGATCTGCACACATTATTTGCCGATACATCACACAGTCCTTGACACTTGGGAAGTGTCCAAAGTGTCATCCAATACAACAGCCAGCAGCGCGTCTGCTGTGGACTCATCTTGTGGTGTTTCAAGTAGTAGTAGTAGTAGTAGTAGTAGTAGTAGTAATAGCAAGTATAGATCGTCAATGTTGCAATCCCTGGCAACAGCAGGATTAAAGAGAAACAATTAGAACAGCTGACACTATATGAGGATTTAAAGATCGAACTGCAAAAACTCCGCCACAAGCCAGTCAAGGTGGTCCCAGTGGTAATCGGCACACTGGGTTTAGTGCCTAAAGACCTTGGCCTGCACTTAAACACAATCAGTGTTGACAAAATTACCATTTGTCAGCTGCAGAAGGCCACCTTACTGGGACTGCACGCATTATTCGCCGATACATCACACAGTCCTAGACAATTGGGAAGTGTGAGTGATCTGACGTGTGATCCTATTCAACAGCCAGCAAAGTGTCTGCTGTGGACTCGTATTGTTGTGTTTCAAATAATAATAATAATAATAATAATAATAATAATAATAATAATAATTCAAAAATACATCACACAGTCGTAGACACTTGGGAAGTGTTTGACTTGTGATTTTGTGATACGAAATCCAGCATATAGATCCCGTTTACGGTGACATATTGTGCTTTTATGTCAATAATAATAATAATAATAATAATATAATCTCTCAGACTTGTAGACCAACCCATAAACAATTAAGCCATTTTGGGTTGATATCAATTGCTCCAAACCCAACTGCTTGTTCTAAACAGAATATACTCACAGAATTTACACCAATATTATTTATTTATTTACGACATTTATATGCCGCCCTTCTCACCCCTAAGGGGACTCAGAGCGGCTTACAAGTAAAAAGTAAATACAATATATTATTATTATCATAGCACAATATTCATATTATATATTACATTGTACTATAACATTATACTTTAATATTATTAATAATATTACATTTAATATAAAATATATAATTATAATATCATTTTATTATTATTAGTAGTATATTGTATTACATTATAATATTATCAAGTCAATATTGACTTGTTATCCCCCTGAGTCAATGGTTCTCACTAAGTTGGGATGAGCGATTCGATTCAGGCCAAGGCAGGTTTTTGTGCTCAAATAGGTTTTTTGTGTCTCATGCGCAAGCGCACTGACCAATGTCCTTAAATTACTCAATGGTTTTAAGTGATTTCTTAAAATATTGAAGCACAAAGCACTGCTTTCCGAAATGGTACGTTGTCATCCGCCAGCCTCCTTCCTCCTTCTCCCTCTCTGGCCAGCCACAGCCTCATAATTATTTGATGTTATTTATGTGGAGAGGATGACATTTGGACATCATCACTTCACAGTCCACTTGCTTTCATACCTTCAATCTATCAATGTGAGAGAAGTCCCCTGGCAAGCAAGCGCATCACCAGACTCCACCAAGCAAACACCTGGACAGCAACAACAATAACTCCCCACAAATGGGTGACTGCAAAGATGCAGACTGCTGACATATATCGCTGGCATAGGAATGCGTAGGAATGAATCCAACTAATACCAGGGCAGACTGTATGTCTACTTAGCCCAGTACTGTTCTGATTGAAAGGGATGTGGCTTTTCAGGTTTTGCAAGTCTTTGTGTTTTTTCTCTCCACCTGACAACTGAATTTGAGATGCCAGGT